TAATTTTAAATAATATTATTTATTCTTAATATTATTACTAGTATAATTTAGAATATATAACTTAAAATTATTGAATCATTGATTTTTTAAGTCATATTGAAAAAGGATGAATTTTGGCAATAATTAATATTTAAAAATGCAAGTAATTAAACTTAGTGGAAAAATATATACCTCACATTAATTCACCACAAAAATTTTATTTAAAAAAAATCGGTGCTATTTGTTGGATTCAAAATTATAGTGTTAAACTTGAAAAACCATTTAATTAAAAAAATTTTTAATAATATTATATTCTTTCTCCTTTTGAAAATTATTAATTAGGAAGGAGACATTCAATTAATTTTTTATCTGAAGTATTGATGATCAATATTATAATAAATTGTGAAATCATATTTTTTATCTAACTACTGAATCTAACTTGAGAAAATAAGATATATATGAATTGATATAATAGAAGCTAAATTGATAATAATCATTAAATTTAGATTTGTGAATCGAAAGTTTGTTGATTATTGATTTTTCTAGCCTCATCTATTTAAATTTCTCTGATATTTGAAGGCATATTTAAATTTTTAGGTGAATTTTCTTATTAGCATGTTTACTCCTATGAATGGGAGTTTGGAGACCTAAAATGATGAACTTATTAATTACAGTAATTGTTAAGGCAGTAAATTATTGCCAATAGCATTATTTTCTTTGGTTGCATTCAATTTATTTGAGTAATATGATGTAATCATTTTGAACTATTGATGGTCATTTTCTGTTTCATTTATTTTTCTTAATTCATTAATGTATTAAAATTTTTAGGTTAGTTAACCATGTAGTGTAACAGTTGCATTTTACAAAAACTCAGGTAATCCGCTTTCTTCTAATGGTTTGGTAGGGTCTGAATAGGCTAAATGAGGAACAATATCTCTTAAAGCCTTTCCAAAATCCATACTGGCTTCATATGGCATTTGGGACGGCAAGAAATCTATAGACATATACATTATGTCATTTTGAGAGTTAAAATCAAATTCATCATGAATCTATTGAGATATCGGATTATAATAATAAACAGGGTGATCAGGGTTAGTAAACTTCTTTAAGAATTAGATGGAACCTTCTAAATCGCATGTGACATCACATACAGCTTGCAATCTACTATTTCCAGATTCAACTAATTCCTAAAATATATATATTTTTACTTTAATTTAGGAATCGGTAACATATCGAGGAAACTTGTATTCCCAATAAATATCATTAACGAGAATAGTGAGATAGGGTAAATATGTCTAATGGAAAATAGGTTCATAATCTAATGGATTTTCATAATAATCTTAGGATGTAAATTCTTTGTGAACATCATGTTTATGTCTGACCAAATCTGTGGTTTTGAAAGGACAAACATAAATTGTGTTTCTATGTTTTTTATCATTAGGGTTCCTAACTAATTTCTTCAAATCCTCTGGGTTTACTAAAGTAATTTGAAGTTACGACAAAGCCTCCAAAGATCCTTTTCCGCAAGAACCAGTTGAACCCATAACTCCAATTATTAAAGGCAACCCTAATTTAGGAGGGAGTCCTCTTTCTTTAATGGCTTAACCTGCCTTCTATAAGGCTTCATAAGCATCTTTTTTATTATAATATTAGTAAGTTGGGCCGATTTATAGAAATGGAGTGTTCATGTCTCTTTTGAGTAAATACTTGCCGTATTCATTCAAGAATGTGATTATTCCTGCAATTCCAGCATAAGGGAATGAAGTTATGTTAACACCCTATTTTAGTATATTATTTGTTTACGTTATCGTCATAAATTCGTTCATACTCTAAATGCCTAATATTTTTCTAAAGCATCACATCCAAGGCTGGCATATTATATGGTTCACCCTCTAAAGTATGAGACCAATTTAAATATGTCATTCCTTCAATATATTTTTCTAGCGGGATTTCTTTAATACAAATGATTGCTCTGCAGATCGATAGATCTTCTTAAACCATGCATCCCACCTCTAAATATTGTTCATCTGTGAAAATTCTCTTAGTTGAGGGCTATACAACAATTTAAATTCGATTATGCTATGACAATTTTGAATTAATTTACTTTTTCCATAATATACTTGCAATCATGGGGAGGGATAGGTGTTCTTCTTTCCATATACGATTTATCTTCAGCTCGTATACCAATAAACAATTTGTCCATTGCTTTCAAATAGTAAAATTATAATAAAGATATGAAAAGTTCATGTTTAATACGTCGAACTAATGAATTACAAAATAAGATATACTAAATTTTATAATAATGTAAAATAATTAAAATATTCAATCTTCATATTATATTATAAATTATATTATAAATGAATGTGTTTATAACAATCAAATTTGAATTTATTTTTCAAAATGATTAATTAACAAATAAATCTAAGCATAATAATTACTAAACCTGTATAACCCAAAATTATTGAGTTTAAAAATCTTCTATTCAATATAAAATATTTTTAATATTTAAAAATCTCTGACTATTTCATATACTAATCCATCTCAATTTACATTGTTGAATATTTGCCATAAGGAAATCAAAGCATAATTAAAGGGTTAACGTTAAACCAAAAAGTAATTAATCAGAAGAAAAAGTAAAACTAATAATTAAATAGGTAGAAGTATGAATATATTCTTAATAACAGCATAATTTATTAAAGTATGAAAATATTCATTAACAAAGAGTTAATAATATTTGTTAATTATAAAAATGAAAGAAAAAAAACAAAATAAGGCATTCTAATTAGTATTTAGGAATATATTTACTTTTAAAATAAAATGACATAATCAATTAATTCATCACCTTGGATTTTTATTTTTCATATATATTTAAGAAGTTTTTCTTTTTTTCTTATTGTCAGCGACTATTGTTATTTCTTAATGGCTACTTTATTCTTAAATCTCGAAGAGACTTTACATATTCTTTGAAACCTAGGCTCTATTCTCTTAATTCTTTTTAAAATAAGAATACTCAATAATTTTTTATAGAAATAATAACAATTATAATTATAAGTTGCTTCAGATATTATAAAATCTTCTATTTAAAGGCAAATTGAAAAAATAATGATCTTAAATTCTTCAAAATGGTGCCTCAACCTAAAAAGAAAATTCTCTTAAACAATCAAATAGTTATAATTAATTGAAAAATTATAAATTTAGTATTTAAGTAATGAAGCTCTAGGTTGATTATTTTTATTTAATTGATTTCAATTCAAAATAATATTCAAAAATGGGATCGATCGCATCCTTATAACTTAAATGTTGTAATAAAATTTAATTCTATTAGATAATTAAATGTAATAATGAATCATATTTAGAACACAATATCTAAATATGTTTTTAGTGATAAACTATAAGTATGATGTAAACATAAAAAAAAATAATAAGAAGGAAACTATTTTAGAGAAAAAAGTATTAGATGATTGTTTGATTAATACTTCAGTTTGAATATTTTGGATGTATGTTAGATTAATCAACCTTTAAGCTTAAATAGAACTAAAAATATTTTACTTCGCTTCTGAAATCAATTTAAATTATTCCTAAAAAGAAGTTTTTTTTGGTTTTAATATTCATGGTCTGTATATAGTATTTACAAATTGATTTGCTAAATAAAAGTTCCGAATTTGCTAAAAAAAAGTTCTATATTGTTGCTTAAATCATTAATAATCAATCTATAAAAAATCTATGATTTGGAATATATAACATTATATCTGATATAATTGCAGGAATAACATCAATATTTCTTAAGTAGTATTGTATTTTGAATGATTGATAATTTGAAAACAAGTTATAATTCATTTATAGAAAATATCAAGATGACACGTTTTCATAAATATTATTATTTGATTGGAATAAATTAAAGTTAATACTATTATATCTAATAGTATAAATAAATTTGATTATTTATTTAATCTTATTTTCAATGTATAAAGATTATTTGCCAACAAAAAAATGAAAGAATAAAGTATGAAGAATGAAAAATATGAATAACTAATTTTTTAATGTAAAAAGTTTCTTAAAATACTTTTAGTGAAAATGTTATACAAAAAGGGAGAGTCACAAAGTAAGATAAAGTTGAAAAAATTGAATATGTTTATTGATTATGATAAATTAAAAAATTAATGATGCTAAAATAACAAAATTTCCATATTCAGGTCACAAAACTTAATCAGATACTAATATTATTTGGTGCCATTCGATCGATTAAAGTCCAAAGACTTAATCAAATAAAGATATTGACACAGATAAATTAAGCTATGAAAAAATGTTCTCTTCAAATGAGGTTGATTTAGAATTTGAAGATTTTGATACAAAACCAACAAATTCATATTAAGTTGTATCTCCTGGTTTATCAATAACTTCATATGATTTAGATTAAACTTAAAAAAGCTCAGATATATAACTTTATGGAAGTGTTTCTTATAATTAAAGAGAAATACCATAGATAGTACTTGCTTTTAGAAAAAGGAGACCAGCTTAAGTTTAAATATCATAAGCAAGTTAATTTAATCAAGAGTCATGGAAAACTTTGTCTAATTTTTCATCTCCTGATTCCTCTCCTTTTCAAAATAAAAAAATATAGATTAAATCTTTTGCACTTATTCCCTTGAAAGATGAAGAAGAAGATGAGATATTTAGTGTTTTTAATGATCCATATAACTTTTATGGAACAATATCCTAGACTAAACTTGAGAATATGAACCATCTATAATAATTTTTAACCTTATATAAGATGAGGACAGGAACATTCCCAAGATAAAGAGAAAATTTGGAGAATGAAATTATAATATCAATTGCAATGAATCTAGCTAAAATAGATAAATAACTATTTAAATAATATTTTCCTTCAAAAAGAGTGTATTTTGATGATGAAAATGATTATACAAGAACAAAAGTAATTAAGAGAAAAGAATAAAGATAATTAACTTAAGTAGTCACTCCAAACTTTTAATACATCTAAAATTGAATAAGCGATATTAATTATATTTGTTCATTTACTTTTAATTTTTGGAAAAGGTTTCTTTGAATTCTTTTCATTTATTAATTATTTATTATGATGGATACTTTGAATTATCGGTTTTTTACTTTAAAGAGGTTTTCTTTCTTACTTTTCAATTTTTATTTTCTCTTCATTAATTTAATTATCTTTTTAAAGTTCTACTTCTATTTATTAATTTATATTATCATTCTATTTTATTTTTATTTTTTCTACTCTCATTTCACCTACACAAATAAGACAGTTAAAATTATGATCATCTAAATTTTCAAGTACTTCTTTAGGTAATCCACTACAATCATAATGTATCCATCTTTAACATCTATCACATTATAAATAACCCAATGAATTATCAAATAATTTTTAACAAATACATTCAGTTGCCCATTCTTCAACTGGAATTTAAAACTTTTAGGATTCAATATTAAATTCTGAACGAGTATAAAATGATCCAGGTTTTGTATCAATATTATTTTAAATTATATCATTAAGATTATACACCATTATTTTTTTTCTTAATTCCTTACAAAAGAACCATTTTGTTTGTTCTGTTAAAAACAAATCATCTTCTGTACATTCCTTTATTTTTTCATGTAATTTAATTAAATCTTGTTTTTATAAATAGATACGACCCTTAATAAATCCTGCATCTTCATCATTTATACTAATTTTCACTATTTCTTAAATTCTTGCAAACCAAATTTTATTATCCAAAACAAAAGCAGCATCTTCATCAATTGATAATTTTTCATTTTGCTTATGAGTATAGATAAATCCACATTAAACAACATTTTATGGATAAATATCATGAAATGAAGATATAAACAAATCAAACTAATAATATTTTGATTTATTACATTTCTTTCGTCAATCATTTTCAAGAAATTAGGATATGTCTTTTTGTGAATTTATGGTTTTTTGTATTTTGTTTCTTTTTTTTTCATTTTTTAAGTAGAATTGATCAAATTTAAATTATAAATGCAAACACACTATTATTTTATATATATATTATTGGATGTAAATATTAAATATATAAAAAAGATTATTAATAAATGGGTTTGAATTATTTATAAAAGAAAAATTGGCATCCAGGTTCTTTAAAAAATTAAGAAATTGTTTGGATTAGAGAATAAATTTAAGCTGATATAATTAAAAGAGAATAAGAAAGAGCGAAAAAATTGGCAGAAGAAAAAAACATAGAAGAATTGAAAAGAATTTAAGTTGAAGCTGGTTTAATTCCAAAAAGTCATTTAGATAGAATGGAATGGATGTATGATGTCAGTAAACTTGAAAAACAAAATTAAAATTCAGCAGAAGAGTATTAATTATTTAAACTTACAGATATCTCCTTGGTAAGACTGCTACCTCATAAGAAGTCGAGAAATTAGCTGATTAAAGAGAAAAAGCTAAATAAACTTAATAATATTAAACAGTTTTTAAAGAGGAAACAACAAATGCAAAATGTGAAGATTTTGTACTTGTTCATGAAGATCCCATGTTCTAAATAATGAAAGGAGTATGTTATTTAGTAGTAATTATAGGAATAATAAATGAAATAAGTATTATTGTAAAATCCTTTAAAAGTGAAATAATTATAAGAGAAGATAGAAGCAAATAAAAAAATAAAGAAAGAAAAATCACATAAAGATAAAAAAGATAAGAATAAAAAGAAAAAAGATAAAAAAGATAAAAAATCATCAAAAAAAAGTAAGAAACATAATAGAAGCAGTAGTTCTAGTTCTTCATCTTCAAGTTCTCAAGAACATGAAATTTCTACTGCTGTTTCAACAGGTTCATCACATTCTTAAATTTATTAATAATATTTAAAAGAAAGATTAGGAAATATTGCAGTTACTGATGAACATGGAAATGTTAAAGCGGATTTCAGCCTAATGAAAAAAAAATATAGAAATAATTTAAATCCTTAATAATCTCATGAAGAATTACGTAATTAAATGGCTGCTGATGGATAAAAAAGACTTTAATAATAATTAAAATAAATTGAAGAAGAACCTAAATAATAATAATAATAAGGAGGAGGATAATTTTTAAATAAAATAAGGAAAGAAATTTATAATTAAAATGATTAAAATGCCTATCAAGATAGAATCAAAAGAAATAGACATTTCTAAGAAAGATTTAATGAATGATAGTACATAAAATATAATATTATTATAAACAACATACACATCAAATTATCATTTCTTATTTTCATTTGATAATTCATCTAATAAATCTTATAATTTTGCATTATGAATTTTCTCTTAATATTTTTAGATGAATTCTCCTAATAATTCTCCAGATAACATTTTTTCCATACCATACATTGTTAAATTAGTTCTATGATCAGTTATTCTTTCTTATGGAAAATTATATGTTCTTATTTTATCACTTCTATCAGATCCAGCAACTTAACTTTTTCTAGATTAAGCCATTCTTTCTTATTTCTCTTATACATGAATAGCAAATAATTTATCTCTTAATATTTAATATGCTCTTTATTTATTCCTCTCTTAACTTCTATCTTCCATATTTACAACTTAAATTCCAGTTGGAATATGAGTGATTCTACAAGCACTTTCAGTTTTATTAACATGTTAACCACCTGGTCCACTTGCTTTCATAAATTCATATTTTAAATCTTTATCACTTAAATGAAAGTTATCAGTTACTTTTGGAAGTACAATCATAGAGGCTGTACTTGAATGTAATCTACCCTTAGCTTCTGTTTCTGGAACTCTAATAACTTTATGTACTCCAGATTCACACTTTAATTACTAATATACATTATCACCAGTTATTTATAGAATACCTGTTTTACAACCTTTACCAATCTAAGTATCTTTTTGTATTGATATTACCTTATAATAAAATTATAAAATTACTCTACAATCCCAATTTTAAAGACTAGCATAATTCTATATCATTCCAATAATATCTTCAGCAAATAATGAACCTTCACTACCTCCAACACCTGCTCTCACTTCTACATTAAGTTATCTTATGTGATCATATTCATCTTATTCTATTAATTATGTAAGTGCTTCATCTTAATATTTCTTTAGATATTCAATTTATGTCTAAATTTAATTATAATATTTAATACTTAAATTTCTTCATTTAACATTGATATTTCATCTGAAGTTCCACCCAAACTAATTAATTATTTTGCATCTTCAATAACAGATACACTTGCTTAAATTTATTTATATATATGTATTTTAGGTTGTAATTCATTCATTCTTCTTCTTTTTATTTCATTCATGTCTCCTCTTAGATATTAATGAAGTGCAATTACTTAATTGTATGTTCTTAATACATTTCATATTCAGTATTTAATTCACCTAATCTTTAATTTATCAAATATAATGTTTTGCTTATATTGTTTAAAGTATTGCTAAATTAGAATCGATTAAGATGACAATTAAGAATGAATTTTTTGATCATAAATAATTTTTAATAAAAAATTCATTATGTTTCAAAACTAAAAACTTCGAAAGAATATTCAGAGACAACTCCAAATAGATTATTTTGACAACAGAAATTATCTATATCATAATTTTTAGTTAATCCAAAGCATGGTTCAAGATATTTATCACCTTCATAAAGAATTATTTATCTATCTAAACCTGCTGTTACTAAAGAACTAATTATTATCTAATATTTAATTACTTTCTATCTTAAAACCATTCAGCTTTAACAATTTATCTATGATCAGTTCTAATTCTTTTATATTTATTTTTAAAATCTCTAGTATCATAAAAATCAATAAGACCAGCCTCATAATCTATAGCAATTAAGTTATTATCTTATTTTTTATTCCAGATCACTTAATTGTATTATAATTTGCCTTTAATTTTGTGCATACCCATTTTAGTTCTGATATCATAGATACCAATTTAATTGTAATTATTTAGAAATGCTAAGATATTTGAATCACGACCTACATTTAAATCTAAAGTATATTAATCTGGCTCTTTGGATATGTCATATGCTATAAATTAATATTAACATTTTCTTTTTTCAAGATCCCAAATCCTTATTGTAGGATCTAGAGAACCAGAGACTAAAAGTCAAATATAAGAAAATAAATACTTAGTCTATTTTACTATTCATAATGAAAATCTAAAGCAAATGTAGGACCAACATATTCTTTGCTTAAAGGGATTAAGTCACAAATATGACTGATTTTTTAGTCTTCTGATTTAAATATTTAAAGTTTTTCACCAGCAGAGATAAATCTATCATTTCCTTCAGTTTGATTTAGAAATAATAATTTAGCACTAAATGCATTATGCAAATGATATGTTTTAATTTTGTAGCCTTCTTGAGCAGATTACAATTCTATTAAATAGATGAATTGATAGGTTACATATAATTTATTATCCTCCTGAACCAATAGTCCCCAATATAATTCTTTGATTATCTATAGTACTTTTAGGAGATATGGCACATGCGTATATTAATTTGGAATGAACAAATTAATTTGAATTTGTATTTAGCATAAATGTTTATAATTTTTGAATAAATCAATAATTCCTATTGCTAAAACCACTCTTTCTGACATCTCCATCACCATAAGTACCCTAATTATAATTATAAATTATATACTCCTGAAGTCTTCGCAGTAGTCTTAACAGTAGATGTAGTTTGAGTGATCATTTTTCTTTTTTAAATACTTTCTATTTAGGCTTCAGTCATAGTAATATCTTCTTCAATATCATGAAATTTCTTATTCAATTCTTAAAACTTCTTCTTCCATTTAGCTAATTCTTATGATTAAGCTTCAACTTAAGCGGATGCCTATTCTTCTGCATTTTCTAAATTATATGTTGCATCATTTATTTATTATTGTAATTCATCAATCTCTTTCTAGTTCTCTCTTAGAATTCCTTATAATCTTTCAATTTCACTTTGTAATTATCTTATCTATTTAGGTAATATTAATTTATTTTATATACCTTCCCTTCATCTTCGACCACTACTTATTTTGATTGAACTTACTTCACTGGACCCTTCTTTAACATCAATTATAATTCAATCAATTATTTCTCCAATAATAATACTTTGCTTCTCCAAGGACCTTCTATCTCATCTACTGATACAACATTTATTGGACGATTTACATGATGTAATTCATGTATAACTGGTACATGTTCAACATTATGAACTATTTAATTTTATTATTATTCTTATACTGACTGATGGTTATTATACTGTTGATTAAACTGATTATTATTAAATAATTGGAGCTGACTATTGAATTATAGGAATTTATTATTGAATCATAGGAGCTTATTATTAAATTATAGGAGATGTAATAGCTTAAGGGGATTATTACATAACTCTTTAAGACATTATTCTTTGAGGGGTTTAATATGATGGAACACCATAATTGGGCACATTTAATCCGTATTCTAATATGAAAAGCATTTGATACAATTTCCATATGTTATTTATTGATTTTACTAAATACCAGAAGGAGATCCTAAGACTTATGGAAGTGCTTGATTACCTTAATATATAGGTCCTACAATAATATACAATATTCTACACCTCCTTGTTGTTAATATACAGATGGTTAAACATTTGTCATTGATTATTATCCTGGATAAAAAGTTGGAAGATTGTTAGTGGCCATATTAAATTAACAATAAAAATTAATTAAACTAATATAACTTAAATATATTTATAAATGTAATCAGACTAATCCAGAAAAGAATTGATTTATTTATTCAAACATTATTTATTGTTATTTAAGATCCCCTTCAAATTCTCTATCTCCATTTAAAATTAAAACTTTCTAATTCTAATTTTATGAATTAATAAGCCATTCTTCATGTCTTTAATGAATTTATACTAAATAATCTTTAGAAATAGAATTCTAATATTGTATATTTAATATACTTTTTCTTCATTTCTAGATCTTTTAAGCATTCTCTATAAACAAACATTCGGATTCACTTATAGATAAACAATCAATTATTTTGCAATCTATTTTCCAAATACTTCTTGAACTAACCAATTATAAAATTATTCATAGATTGCAAATTCCATTTCATTCATTAATCCATTGATATACCCATTTTTTGCAAATATCTCTTTATCTGCTTAAATACTCCTTTCACTTAAAATAATTGATTCATTCAAATTAGCCATAACAGTTTTCCAATGTTTTAATCTACTATAGAATGCATAATTTTGCATAGTGTATGCCCACCTATGTGGATCTTAATAAAAAGATCCAAGTAAATTGAGTTTTGGATTTCCATTAATCTATTACCATTCATTAACCGGTTCATGTAAATAATGCATCTTAAAATATATTTAGATAACTTACTTAAGGGTATTTCTGTTACATTAATTTGAGAAGTGTACTTTTACCTGATCCAATATTACCTTCAATTGAAATTAAAGTGTGTTGCTTTATATAAAAATATTTGAGGCATTTATTAATCATTTAAATTAATATAAATTGAAATAATCATTTCTATAATAAATATTTAGGAACATCATTAAATTTAGGTGGAATATTATAAGATCCTGGTCCAGGATTAAAATCCTTTTTAATTAAAGTAGATCTAATTTCTTTCTTGAATCCCCAAGAAGGTCCTTCGAGAGTAGATTTCATTGAGTATTAACCAGGTCCTGGAACATATTGAGTTAACAATGCTTTAGATCTCTATTCAGGAGCTATCTTAACTGAACCATCCTTTAGTTTACACATTGAATCATCAGGATTATATTACCCAGGTCCAGGAAAATGAACAGAATTATTTGGATTGTATTTAAAACCCTTCATTGTAATAATTTGACTGTCTCGTATTTTTGGTATTTAATACTAGCCTGGACCTGGAGTAATAGTAATAGAGTCATTGAGATCTTTTCTTTAGGCTTATGGCATTTTAAATGATGGAGCTGATTTTTGTAAAGAACTCAAACTATCTATTCTCCTGTTGATAAGAAAAAGGTATACTCTCTAAAATATTAACCAGGTCCAGGCAAAAATTTATCAAGTAAATTCTTAGTACTTCTTTATTCAGTTCCAATCTTATAAGTAGGAAAATGAGATTTTAAAATAGAAAAATCTGAATCATACGCACCAGGTCCTGGAGCGGATACGTTTGGATCTTTCAATTACAATTTTTATTTGAAAGTGAAATTCTTTTTAAGATTTAACAAAACACCCAATTAATAAGCTCCTGGACCTGGAGTTATTTGAGATTTCTTTAATTCTTGTTATCTTTAGGATGTTCCAATTACCCAAGAAGGTTAAGTTTTCTCCATAGCCAACTTTACTGCCTTATCGATGTTGTATTCTAAATTAATAATTATTATACATCCAGGTCCAGGAGACATTCCTCCTTCTAAAGATGTTAGTCTAGGTTAAGTCGGAAATTTAATAGAGTTATTAGACACATATGAACTATTGAGATCATATTATCCAGGGCCTGGCAAAAGCTCTTTTGCAGATGTATAATGCTTTATTCCAAGTGTATACATAGGTGGTTTTCTATAGATGGAGCAAAAACTTTCATCATTGTAATTTCCAGGCCCTGGAGAAAGAGAAATTTATTTTGTTTAATGTTTGCCAAGTATTGAATATTTAGGTCCTTCTATGACTTTTTATTAATATTGGTATTGGCCTGGTCCTGGTCCATAAGAAGTTGATCTTCCTATTCTTTGTGCTGCTCCACCAATCCTATATATTTAAATATTCATATACGTCCACTATGGGGCTTATTACTTAGGAAGTAATTTTGGTAAATAAGCATTGGGACCAGGTGCTAATGTTTTAATGGATGGATCAGATCTTTTTGCTTAACCAATTGAAAAGGCAGAAACCATTTTTATAATCAATTAATAATGAACCAAAAAGATAAAACAGCTGTGGGTTAACTATAATAATAAACAAAAAAATTGTTGTTACAATATATATAAAGATTAATTGATATATTAATTTATAAGTAATGAAATTATCCAGTCCCAACACCGAATAATTAAATTATATGTAAGTACATAATAAATGTATAAATGAAATAATCTACTGAGGATTTATTATTATATTAATATGAACAAATTTACATTAAGGTTTCCATCATAACTGGAGAAAAAATATGAAGAATTTACTAGAGAATCATGCCTCTTTCATTTTAAATGTTATCAACCGATCTTAATTATCATTAATTTAAGTGTTGCCATAATACAACTTAAAGGAGGTTAGATAACAAATGGGGTATTAGAATCGATGGCTACTTTGTTTTTTATATTACAAATTCCTTTTATTGTAAAATTTCGTAAAGGAAAGAATATTTGTGGTATATTTGTGATAAATAATCTAATTATGACTGGTATATAGATTCTAGTGGATAGAAATACACCTTCTTATGATAATTTATATGTATCAGGATGTGGAATAACAATTATCAATATCACATTATTAGAGCATTATGATTTTTTATGGAATGTGTTTGCATTAATTTTAGTTACAATCTCTCGACTAATTTACATTCTATTTTACTTTACTTTTGATGGAATGGCTGTTCTATACATAGTTGTATCATTTTATTTATTTATACTTCTGTATAAAAAATCGTATGTAAAGAGAACATTATTTATCTAATATTAAAATGAAAAAGAAATAAGTAAATATCTTATTACTATTAATATAGGAAATGTCTTAAATGAAATAATCTAAGATATTTATATACAGTTTAAATTTGATTAAAAATCATTTTAATTTGAATTAAAGTATGCAAACCATTATGCAGAGTAGAGACTTGGAATCTCATCCAATCAAGATTTTAAAGAATTCTTACATTAATATTCAACTTATGATTCAACATAATTACCAAAAGGACATTTAAAATTAAATTAGAATATTCAACATAGTACAGGTTTAGATTCTATAAATATTGGATAATTTTTATATGAAAAAATGATTACATCCAAAACACCATTAAAAAAGTTACAATTAACCATTTAAAAAAATAATTCAAAATAATTATATAGTCTTAAAGTTTTTGCTTATTAAAATGAGAGTAGAGAATTACTAATGTTGATGGAATAAAAATAAGATATTTTGGATGATAATGTTTAATTGAAATTAAAAGAGTAGGAAATTAAATTATTATCTAGTAGATTAGATAAAATTAATTCGAGAACAAACAAATAATTATACTAATTATGTTAATTATAATAAAATTCTGATGATAAATATTATTTAAAAGTTAGTGAATCTTTAATAAGTGGATAGATTATTTCAAATACGAAAATTAAAATGATCTTGGATGCCTTTTAAATCTATTATTTTAAAATTAAATATTAAGAATTAGAAACATTTTCTGTTAAGAATATCATATATTAATCTTTAATGATTATGAACAATGTAGCTGATATGGAAAATAAATAAATATAATTTGAATCTAATTCTACAGAGCTTTTTGTTATTACATCAATATAACATATCATCTAATTTATATTCTCTAATCTTTTATATTTATTTCTCGTATAAAAGTCTCATAAACACATTAAAGTGGAATTAAGCAATATAGATATTGATTAATGTATTGCTTTTAATTTTTATATTGATGGATTCATTTCATTAGAGTTTTTACGATAAAATACATTTATAATCTAAATGATATATAAAGGATTATAAATAGTAGGACCAAAAGCAGAAGTTATTACTACTTCATTCTTTTAAGATATATGTAGGTTTAATATGTGTTATTTTAGGTCCATCTTTATTGTAGGTCAAGATATACAAAAATCTGGATTTCGTTCTAAATGGATGATTAATGAAAATTATAATTAATTAATATGAATTAAACATAAACTAATTTATCTCAAGTAAGACAAAAAGAGAAGGTGTCTTTAAATGATGGATTACCTAAGATTGAGCCAAGAATAGTAATTGAAGAACTTAAAAGCCATTTGTATTCTGATGACAACTTTAAAAAGTATCAGTTACGATAATGAAGGTAGATTATTCTCAGATGCAGAAGATAAAAAATATAGAGAAAACTTTTAATTATTTGATCGAGATGGTGATGAAAGAATTAATTTTACTGAATTATAAGAATTATTGACATCTATAGGATATATTTTTGAAGAATAGGAATTAAGTGAATTATTTAAGGAACTTGAAGATTCTGAAGGTTAAGGAATAAGATCTGATGCTTTATTCATTTTAGTTAGTAAAAAGAAAAGAGAATAAGATAGAGAAGAATAATTAATTGAAGGTATAATATTTAATGATTTTAGCTTTTAAATCTGTAGATTTGGAAAACACAGGATATATATAGAGTGAATATTTCAAAGAATTATTAATGACAATGGGCTATAGATTTAATGAAGATGAGGCTGATGAATATATGAAATTCATAGATCCTAAAAACGAGGGAAAATTCCTATATATAGATATTGTTAAAAAAATACTCAAATGAATTAACATAATATAAATATATGATATTTAAAGTTAAATCATCTGATATTGAAGGATAGCATTCACTAATCGAAGTTGTTCCTGTCATTCTAAGCAAATCTAGAATTTTAGTTACTGTAATATTTATATTAATAATCAAGATCATACTATCCATTATCACTTGTTCTCTATTTGCATTATTAATGAAATGGAACAATAAACTCTATAGAATTATTCTATTTATTAAGATTGATGAATAATAATGCACTCATTATCTAGTTACTAATTCAAATAATTAATAAAGTATATGTAAAAAGATTGTAATTAACAACACTTCTTATTTTATCTATAGGTATTTATAACATTTATTAAATTGATTTTTAAAGTATTAATTGAATCATGACTCATTTCAACCTGTTGATTTTCTAAAACATAATACAGTAGAAACTAAATAAAGATAATTGTAAATGCTAATTAACACTGATTTAAGTCATAAATTAAGATATGATATTTATGGAAATAGTAAATTATAGGTTCCAATATAATCATTATTAACTTATTTATTTTAAGAATTAACAAGTCCATTTTATATGTTATAATATTTTTCTGTACTCTTATGGATTATTGAGGGTATTGATTAAATTCATTTATATTAGGTTTCATTATGTTTTCAATTGTCTTAATTTCATTTTCATTTTTAGCTTGTCTTATTAATTATTTTCTAATGAGAAAATCTAGATTGTAACTCTAATAATTAGCAAATATTAAATAAAATGTTAAATTAATTGATAATAAAATAATAGATGGAAGTGAATTAGTAGTTGGAGATTAATTCTTTATTGAAGAACATCTACAATTGAATTGTGATTGTCTACTAATAAAAGGTGATGTAATGGTCAATGAAGCTACTTTAACAGGAGAAACAGTACCAATTCCTAAATAAGCCATAAAAGAATTATCAAATGATATATATGAACATACACTATTTGAAGGTACTAAAGTGATTAAGATATCACCATATTAATAAAATATAGGATTAGTAATTAGAACTGGATATGGTTCAATGAGAGGATAATATTTTAGAAATGTTTTATTTCCTCCTCTTCCATCTAGAGTATTTTATATACAAGCATGTAAATTTTTAATTATTTTGGGTCTTATTATTCTATCTATTTTCACACTATTACTTATAGTAAAATATTAATACATGCATTATTCAATTAAACTCATAATTGTTAGATATCTTGATGCAATAACTTGGATAATTCCACCTGCTTTACCGATATTCTTTTCATTAAATTAAACTATATCTCTATTAAAATTAAAATAAATAGATATTGTAGGATCAAATCCTATAAAAACTGAAGATTCAGGTAAAATTGACACAATTTGCTTTGATAAAACTGGAACATTATCTACTTTAGGATTATAAGCTAATGATTATATACCACATTAAGATTCTTTGTTAGAAATAATGGCTTGTTGTCATCATTTAACAATTATTAATTCAGAATTAAGTGGAGATCCATTAGAATTAGAAATGTTTAAATTAGCTGATTATGATATCAATTTTGATAATTAAAAATACTTTAAAGTTTCAAAAAACTAAAAGTGTTTTTAAGTGATAAAGATATTTGAATTTAATTCTCATTTGTAAAGAATGAGTGTAATTGTTTTTAATGAATTAGAAAATTAATATTATTTATTTGTAAAAGGATCACCAGAAAAGTTGATTGAATTATCAAATAAATAGTATGATTAATCTCTCTTAATTTAATTACAATAATAAACATACTAAGGTTTAANATGTTATAATATTTTTCTGTACTCTTATGGATTATTGAGGGTATTGATTAAATTCATTTATATTAGGTTTCATTATGTTTTCAATTGTCTTAATTTCATTTTCATTTTTAGCTTGTCTTATTAATTATTTTCTAATGAGAAAATCTAGATTGTAACTCTAATAATTAGCAAATATTAAATAAAATGTTAAATTAATTGATAATAAAATAATAGATGGAAGTGAATTAGTAGTTGGAGATTAATTCTTTATTGAAGAACATCTACAATTGAATTGTGATTGTCTACTAATAAAAGGTGATGTAATGGTCAATGAAGCTACTTTAACAGGAGAAACAGTACCAATTCCTAAATAAGCCATAAAAGAATTATCAAATGATATATATGAACATACACTATTTGAAGGTACTAAAGTGATTAAGATATCACCATATTAATAAAATATAGGATTAGTAATTAGAACTGGATATGGTTCAATGAGAGGATAATATTTTAGAAATGTTTTATTTCCTCCTCTTCCATCTAGAGTATTTTATATACAAGCATGTAAATTTTTAATTATTTTGGGTCTTATTATTCTATCTATTTTCACACTATTACTTATAGTAAAATATTAATACATGCATTATTCAATTAAACTCATAATTGTTAGATATCTTGATGCAATAACTTGGATAATTCCACCTGCTTTACCGATATTCTTTTCATTAAATTAAACTATATCTCTATTAAAATTAAAATAAATAGATATTGTAGGATCAAATCCTATAAAAACTGAAGATTCAGGTAAAATTGACACAATTTGCTTTGATAAAACTGGAACATTATCTACTTTAGGATTATAAGCTAATGATTATATACCACATTAAGATTCTTTGTTAGAAATAATGGCTTGTTGTCATCATTTAACAATTATTAATTCAGAATTAAGTGGAGATCCATTAGAATTAGAAATGTTTAAATTAGCTGATTATGATATCAATTTTGATAATTAAAAATACTTTAAAGTTTCAAAAAACTAAAAGTGTTTTTAAGTGATAAAGATATTTGAATTTAATTCTCATTTGTAAAGAATGAGTGTAATTGTTTTTAATGAATTAGAAAATTAATATTATTTATTTGTAAAAGGATCACCAGAAAAGTTGATTGAATTATCAAATAAATAGTATGATTAATCTCTCTTAATTTAATTACAATAATAAACATACTAAGGTTTAAGAGTTATTGGTTTAGCTTAAAAATAATTAATGTTTGATTAAATTGATTTAGATAGAAATATATTGGAAAATTAATTAAATTTTATAGGATTATTTACTTTAAAAAATAATCTTAAAAATGATACATCTTAAGTTATATAAGAATTATTAAAATCAAATTTAGATTTAAGAATAATTTCAGGAGATAATCCATTAACAACAGTTCATTGTGCTTATGAATCAAATTTGATTAAGAATAAATAAAATACTATAATTTTAGATTATGATGATTAATAAGAGTTACTCTTATTATAAGATTTAAATTAATAATTTTAAACTAAAACATAATTAGATTCAAAATTAGGATCTTAATTTAATTTCATTATTATTTAATTAGAATTAATTTTAAATAGAAATTGTGATTTTGCTATAACAGGTAATTTATGGGGATATCTCTTATCAAATAAAGTAAATGATATTTCTTTGAATTAAAGTATTGATTAATCATATTACAAATAATTGAGATAGATAGATGAAATTGATATCAAATTTATTAATTGTTTAAATAATTTAGTAAGAAAGACTAAAATCTTTACAAGAATGAAACCTAATTAAAAAAAAGAAATTGTATAATACTTGTAAAATTAACTAAATAAAAATGTAATGATGGTAGGAGATGGTGCAAATGATTGTGTATTTAATTTATTTTAATTTAGTCAGCAATAGCAGAAGCTTTAGTTGGTGTTTCATTCAATTCAAGTGATGCTTCATATACATCTCCATTTAGTTATAAAAAGGATTCAATTTAATGTGTTAAATTAATCTTATTATAAGGTAGAGCTACTAAAAGTATTATTATTGAAATATTTTAATACTATGTTTTAATTAGTGTACTTAAATTTACAGGAACAGCTTTATTATAATTTTAAGGAATGAATTTTGGTGATTTTTAATATATTTACATGAATTATTTGTCAAGCATTCCAGTCCTTATATTATTGACACTATCTTTAAGAGAAGATAAATTAACTGATGCAATACCTAATGATAACATATTTGCTATCAATAATTAATTGTAGTTTTATAATATTTTTATACTAACATCATTTAGTTGCTTAATCATTTTTTTTATAGTTATTGATAATTCTGAACCTCCAACTTTATCAAATCCTATTGATTCTTATTTAAAAGAAGGTCCATTAAACTCTGTAATGATGATTGTAAATCAATATTATAATATGATAATTTGTATCATACTTTACTAATCAAATCCTTTTAAAAGTATATTCTATATTTAATCATTAGAGCCATTATATCTAAATTACTCTTTATTATCATGGATTGTTTTATGTTTAATCATAGCAATCATTGTAACATTTAACAAATATACAAGAAGTTGGCTTTCAATTGTAGATATTGAAGAAGAAATGTAATTATTTTGATATTACTTTTAGTTTTAGGCATGTTGATGTGTTAGTGTTTTTTATCATTTTTTGTACAAGTGCATTGTGTTATTTTGGTTAATCCATTTTAAAACTAAAATTTCCATTAATAAAATCAATTTAAATATGAAGATATTAATTATATTTTATTATTTTGTATTATTATATTCAGTCCAGTTATATATAATATTTATTTTGCAATATTAATTAGATAATAATTTGAAATAAAATGTTAAATTATAATTATTTATTTTCATATTTTATTTATATTATATTTCATGCAAATTAAGTAAGGCTTAAAAAATATTTTAGATTTTTTTAATATACCTAAACAGCTAATTATCCAAATCGCATTAGTCGAAAAATATTTCCTTTAAGTGAATTTTATTATTCAATCAAAATGATTTTAAATTTGTTTGAATCTTTATCACTTATAAGATAGGTTTGTGAATTACTTTAGAATATCAATAAATTTTATTATTAATAAAATCTTGGTTAAACATAAATATGTATATCAGTGTTGATTTCATTAAGGCTAATATTATATAACTATTCAATTTAATATTGTAATTATAATGGATTAATGATTTAATAGAAATAGATATTTCTATCTTAATTTAGAGAAATAAAAAATTGAGTAGAAGTAACAAAACAAATAGTATTAACACGTGATTATTTGATTTCCTAGATTGATTTTTAAAAAACATCTTAGGATGATTTGAATAATGAAAAAGAATAATCCTAACTTGTAGATCCAAGTATATTATAATCTAGACTATAACATAAAGAATTTATAACACCTGTATGTTCAGATAATTGAGAAATTAGATTCCATTTGTTTTTTCTAAATTTCCACTATTTAATTAGAGTATCTTATCCTCCTGAAATAATTTCTGAATTATCTTAATTAGTGATAATACAAGTAACTCCATTATAATTTTATGATGGATTATAAGAATGTGCTTATATTTAATGCGATGATATATATTTTCCATTTGTTAATTATTCATATACTTCAATAATTCCATCTTATCTACCTAAAAAAAACATTAATTTTTATTAAGCTTTGGTAATACAAGTAATTTTAGTTTTAGGTGATTCGATAGTCTATATACTATTAATTTAATTATCTTATGTTGTAAAGACTTCTAGAAATTTAGAATTATAAATAAAAAATTCATAATCTTAAATACTTGTTTCTACAAATATATTTTATTAATATTCTTATTTGTGGATTTCTTTAAAATTTTTAAATTGATTTAATTAATGAGTTAATAGAGATAACATTTGCATTTAGAATCTCTCAAGATATCTAATAGAATTTTAAATTGCATCTTTTCCTTATTTAATTATTTTTTCTGTATTTTGTTCATTAGGATTGTATAAATAATAATTTTGAGTTTCTTCTTAAAATTTAGTAATTCCTTGTCTATTTTATGTATTTTTTAAGAAATATATTTATTAGTTAGTTAATGAATCAACTTTAGTTTTAATTCCATCAAGATATTAGGATAATTATAAACAAGCATTTTTAATAGGTTAAGAGATTTTAGGTTAATTAATATTATGTATAGCAGCTTCAATTTCAAAATAACCATCTAAACCCTTTTCGGCACATTTTGAACAAAATAGCCTATCTCCAATTTTCACATTAGTGGAATAATTGATATATTTAATAGGTAAATTGTGATGGGGACAGAGTAATGATTTAATATACTCTATAATTTCCAATTAAGAATTTTACATTAATAAAGATAAATAATACATACAATTTTTGAATATACAAATTATAATAATGAATTTATAGAGATATAAAAAATAAGTGAAAATATGTCTGGAAGAGAAGCTACTTTAATATTATTAGATGTTGGAGCATCAATGTATAGTCAATATTAATAGGGTGGAAATAAGAAGTTGAGCAGATTAGAATTGGCAGTAGATTGTTTAGGATTGATGATTTAATAAAAGATATTTAATTATAAGAATCATGAAGTTGGATTAATTTTATTTGGTACAGAAGAAGCACCAGATGGTAAAACATTGTACATCTAAGATTTATCAATTCCAGATTTAGATTTTTTTAGAAATCTTAGTGATTTACCTAATCATGATGTTGCATAATAAGTAGGTGGAGATATATTTGATGCATTAGATAAAGCAGTACATGCATTAGATGATCATGCTAAAACAAAAAAAATGGAAAAGAAGATATTTATATTAACAGCTGGTTGTGGATAAACTGATTATAGTGAAAAATAAATAACTAAATTAATTAAGATGATTGAAAAAGTAGATGTTAAAATTAATTTTATTGCACTTGATTTTATGAATGATTATAATGGAGATATGGATGATCCTGATAAACCTGAAGAATTTGAAGCTCTTAATAATAGAATGCTTACAGCTTCATATCAATGTTAAGAATAATCTATTAATTCTCGTTATGTATTTTTGATGGTTTAAGAATTAAGAAATAATATGAGAATATTTCCAGCTAATGTTGCATTTGAATTATATTCTTAATTTCATACTAGATCATTATAAGCAAGAGCATCATTTAGAGGAGATTTTTAAATAAATGATGAAATATCTATTCAAGTACTCATATATAAAAGATGTTTTGAAGAAAGATTACCTAATCTTAAAAAACATTCTACTCTTGGTGAATTTCAAACTGATATACATAAAAATCATGTTCGAAATGATCTTATCTATTATAATCCAGAAGATCCTAATATGACACCAATAGAAAAAGACAATATTATTAGAGGATATTAATATGGTAGAAATCTAGTTCCTGTAGATTAAATAATGGAAGATAAAATGAAATATTAATGTCCTCGTTAATTTTAATTATTAGGTTTTGTTGATCGATCTCATATACCTAGATATTATTATATATCAACTGTTGATATGGTAATTGCAGTAGAAAATCAGAAATAACAAAAAGCTTTAGCTGCTTTAGTTATTGCACTAATAGCAACTAGAAAAGTAGCCATAGCAAGATTTGTAGGCAGAGAAAAAACAGCACCTAAATTGATTATGTTATTACCACATAAATCAAAAAATTCATAGTGTTTCTGGATGATCTCATTACCTACAACTGAAGATATTAGACATTTTCAATTTGCTGCTTTAAAGAGATCTACTCCTCCATAATAAATGGCAGTTTCTGCTATGATTGATAGTATGGATTTAGAAAAGATGCCTACAGAAGATGGATAATTTGAAGAACTTCTTAAAATGAAATATGTTGCTAATCCAACTAGATAATATTTTCAATAAGTAGTCATGCATAAAGCCATTACTAGAACTGATGTATTACCTCCTATATCACCTCTTATTTTAGAGTATTTGCATCCAGAAATAAGGGTTTATAATTATGCTAAAGAAGCACTTTAAAAAATAAAAACTGCTTTTAAATTTAAAGTTAATGAAATGAAAAAATAATCAGATAAGAAAGTATTTTGGAAACAACTATTTGAAGAATAATCAACAGAATAAGTTTAATAATAAGTTGAAGATGAAGTTGTTGAAATTAATTAAGAAGAGGAAGAAATGGTTAATATGTTTGCTAAATAAAAATTAGGATTTAATGATGATATTATAAAAGAAATTGGAACTGTTGATCCTATATCAGATTTCAAAAAAATGATTACAGAAAAAAGAATAGATCTAGTTGATACAGCTTTATAATAAATACAAAAAGTGGTTATTTAACTTGTTGATCAATCTCTTAAAGGTAGTTTTTATCCAAAAGCACTTGAATGTCTAAAAGAAATGAGAAAAGCTTGTATTACAGAAGATGAAGCTCCAGTATTTAATAAATATTTACATGTTCTTAAAGAGAAATATAGTCAACTTGTTTTTTGGGCATAGATTGTTTAATAAGGAATTACTTTAATTAGTAATATAGAGAATTAGAAATCTAATATTAGTGTTGATGAAGCATAAGAAGTAATATTTTATTTTAATAATTTTAGTTTTTAAATAAAGAAGATATTAGTCATAAATAATTAGTTGATCAATTATAACATGAAGAAGAAGATTTATTGGCTGAAATTGATTGATTTATTTTATTCGACTATATCTAACAATTTTATTCCAATTTTTATATTAATAATGTTTAAACTATCTAAATTGTTTTATTCATTCAAACACTCTCGTAGATCTAACATTTAACATAATCTGACAGATTTCAAAAAGAAAAGAAGATAAGAATTACTATATAACATTGGTTTATATGGTGCTGCTTTTGGATGTGCTTTTGGTGCTGTTCCATTTTATAGATTGTGGTGTGAGCATTTTGGTTTAGAAGGAGATTATGATAAAAAGGATTATTCAATGAAAGGCAAAAAATGTATTTACATTCTTTTTATTTCTAAGTGGATGTCTTTAGAAAATTTCATATTGAATTTGGAGCTGAAACTGATCCTGAAGCTAATTGGGAGTTTCTTCCTGTCTAATAGAATGTTACTGTTCATGCAGGAGAAACTGCTTTAGTCTTTTATAGAGCCTATAATAGAAATGACTAAGCAGTAGTAGGTTTTATATTATAATTATTTAAGGTTTTGCAACATACTAAATTTTCCCTGAAGATGCAGGACTTTATTTTGCAAAAATTCAATGTTTCTGCTTTAATTAATAACTACTTAATCCAAAAGAAGAACTCTAATTACCCATTTACTTTTATTTAGAACCAGAAATTAATGAAGACCCACTTCTAAAAAAATGTGAAGATGTATAAATCTTTTATTAAAATGTTCTAAGATTAAGATTATGTACAAATTTTATAAAGCCAAAAATTAAGAACTAGCAAAATTAGCAGAAAATGAATATAAGACTGTAAAGAAAAATAAAATGATATTATAAAAATTAAGAGATGCAAAAAAATCAGGAGCATTAAGTGATGGTGAATTAAATAAAATAAAAGTAATTTATTAATTAGAAATATATTAGAGTACTAAATTTACAGATCAAGAAATTGAAGACTTTGATGAATGGGCTTATGATAATCCTTTAGAAGCTGCTGAAGCATAAAAGGAGTAGTAAGAATCAAAAAATTGATGCTAATTATATATAATCATAATTATTTCATTATCATTTATTATTATCTTAGATTTGGAATTTGATTGATTATTTATAATTTAAAATTAGGTAGTCTACCCAAATTACAACCTTATTTTTATTATATTATGTATTTAGGATTTATCTAAGAAGTAGGCATTTAAGTGTGTATTTCATAAGGAATTTCAAAATCTTAATAATTTTATATGCTATAATCAAGATGAGATTCTTTTGATGAAGATAATACTATTTTTTTTTTATCTGTAATTTATGATTAAGCATTATGAAAAGTATTGTTACTTAATTTTCTATTACTTTTTGATTAATCATGAATTTATAATAAGAAAATAGGTTTGGAGAAGTGTAATGTGTTCAATTATTTTTTATTGCCAATAATATTTTAAGGTTTTCTTTTGTTCATTTTTATAGTTTTTGGATTTACTTATTTGAGTAGTTTAAGGAATGCATTTGGTTTAATGAAAAAATCTGAATCATGTTAAAATAACATTTATTTAATATGAATTATTAAATTAAGGGGAACTTTAACTATCATTTAGAAATATAAGCTTCATAATTAAATGAAACAATTAACATTACAATTAATGCATTTTCATCAAAAATTAACTAAATACCATTAGGATGCAAATTTTAATGGTTTAAGAAATTAGATAATGAACGAATTAAAATTGAGACATAGGGCAATATTTATCCATGTAGCATATTCGATATTGGTTATAAGATTGAGGCAATTGTACAACCATTCGAATCAGGCTATGAAGGATAGGCAACATTAGAATTTCAAAAAATTCAAATTTCCACTTAATTAGAGAATAAACTCTCCTAATTATATCACAATAATATGAAGTAACTATAGAGGAGATTATGTTAGATAATAGATTATTTGTAATGATTAGAATTGGATATTTTCTTTAGAATATTTAGAAAATAGTACAACCTAATAAAAAATTGAATATGCAGATTAATATATACTTCCAAATTAGAATTAACTATAAGTATAGTTTAACAATTAGATAATGAAATTTAAATGTAAAGATGATAAAGGTAATATATATGTAAATATAAATTAGATGCATTTTGTGCGTTTTTTATTTCAATGTAATGTTTGAAAAGAGTACATTTAAAATTTATAGCTTATAATATAGGTAAATTGAATTAAAAGTAAGTTAACTTTTAATAATTATTGAATGCTTAATTATTGTAATTGATAAATGAGAAATCAGTTATGCCAATTAAGAAATTTGAACCAATTTAATCTAATATTATGATGGCAACTAGTTAAGATTTTAGATAAAATAATTAAATATAAATAAATCAACTTAAATAAGAATTAATTCAACTTTAAAATGAGAAACAGAAATTTCAATAATAGATAGATAAATTAATGAAAGATAACAAAGAATTAGGTATTATAATGATAATATAATAGAAATGAATAGTAGATCTAATGTTGCAACAAAAGATTAATTAGATAGTATGGATAGATTAATATAATCATTAAAAAATGAAGTATATACATTAAAATAAAGAGAAACTGATTTGATGAATTAAAATGGTAGATTAACTATGGCATTGAATGAAAAGAATGATAAATGTGATAAATCATTATCTTAATCTTAATTTTTAGATGAATTGAAATTAAAATAATATTAAGAGAAATTATAAGAATGCAATAATGAAAAATTAAAATTATAAGAAGAATTAAATAAATAATAAAAGTTTGGTTAATCTTCAAGAACAATAACTTAAAATAATGATACAGAAAAAGAGAGATTATTATAAGTTAATTAGAAATTAATGTAAGAAATAGCAACATCAACAAATAAGATTAAAGAATTATAATTAGAATTAGAAATGATGAAAAATATGAGTAGAATTAGTATGTCTATGTCTATGATGGAAGATCCTGTTATGAAAACTAAAATTGAATAATTAGAATAGGAGAATTAATATTTATAAAAAAAAGTATCTATTTTAGAAGAAGAATTATCTAAAAAGAAATCAACAAAACCATAGAAATAATAATAAGATAGAGATTTGTAAATATAAAAGTTAACTGAAGCTAATAAAAGATATTTAGAGGAAAATTTGAAATTATTTGAAGAAATTAGATAATTAAGAGAGAAATTTGATTATTCATCTATATTATAAGGTACAATGAAAGATTCATAAATATAAAATAATGTTGTTAATAATTAATTAGAATAATAAATTGAAAGAATGTAATAAATACATAATTTAGAAATTTAAAAGATGAAAAAAAAAATAGAAAAATTAACTAATGATTTATAAGATTCTAATTAAATTAAAAAATAATTTGAATAATTAATTAAATAAAATAAAAGATTAGTAGAAGAAAATACACATCTTACTGAATAAATTAGAAATCTAGCTGATATTAATTCATCTAAATCATTCACTGATAATATGATAAATTCTAAAATATTTAATTGTGATTAATATAAAGAATTAGAATAATAATGTATTATATTTAAAAAAAAGAATGAAGAAATATAATCTAAATTAGATATTCAATTATAAAAAGATATTTAATAATTGGATAAAATCAAAATATTAGAATAAGAAATTATAAAATATAAAAATTAAATAAGAGAAATAGAAAATAATAATTAAGATAATAATTAAATTAAATTACTTTAAAATTAAATTGATGATTATTAAAAAACTAAAGATAATTTAATGAGAGAGAATATTTAATTAAGAGATGATTATTCTACTTTAATGTAAGATAAAGAATATTTAAATGGAAAAATTAAATAATTAGAAAATTCTATATTTGAATTAAAATAAAAATAAATGTAATTATAAGAAGAAAATAGAACACTTAAATTATTTCCTTAAAGTGCTGAAAGACAATTTAGTATTTAAATTCAATAATTATAATAATAAAATAAGAATTTAACTGAAGAAATAGTAAGATTATAAACATAATAAAATGCTTTTAAAGATTTAAATTAAAGTAATTTATCAATAAGTGAAAGTGTATTAGGATCTAAAGTTTATGAGGCAAAAGAATATAAATTATTAGAAAATTAGAAAGAAATGTTATTTAATGAAAATTAAAAATTAAAATTAGAAATAAGATAAGAATAATTAAATTAGGATAATTAAATTAAATTTTAAGAGTAAATTAAATCTCTTTAAAATGAAAATGATTTATTAAATTAATAATTAATATCTAATAAAGAATAACATTCAAGATAAATATTAATATTATAAAATGATATTGATAAATTAAATTAATAGTTATAAAATATATCAATAAATGAAAATAGATATAAAGTTATTATAAATGATAATAAATTAGAAGATAATAATTAAAAATACTAATAAGATATTTTAAAATTAGAAAATGAAAATAGATTATTAAATTAATAGATTTAATAATTATAATTATAGTATGATACTGAAATTAGAAAATAATAGATTATATTATCTGATCTTCAATTTGAAAACAATAAACTTACAAGAGAAATTTCATACTCTAAATAATATTCTGAATCAATTATTATCAATTAAAATGAAAAGAAATAATATTAAAGTTAAGAAAGTGAAATTGCATAATTAAAAAATCAATTAGCAGAAAAAACTCATTAGTTATAGATCATTTAAACTAATAGTCAAAATAATATGATAGAATTATAATAAGTTATTAGTAAATTAGGATAAGAAAATAAAAATATTAATGAAGTACACAATTCAATCAAATCTAGGCTTGAAACATAAATTAATAAATTAATTGAATAACTAAAAGAAAAAGATCTATAAATTAACAGAATATCAGAAGAATTAAGAAAGAAGGATTAAGTTTATAAATAATAAGAGAATGATTTATTTATGAAATCTAATTAAATTGAACAATTAATTTAATAAAATAAAGGACTTGCTTTACAATTAAATAATTTGAATTTTGAATTATAAGAGTTAAAAATGACTAATCTTTCTCATTCATTTTCTAAATCTCATATTGATGTTAGAGAAAATGAAAATCAAGAATTATAAAATGAAATATAATCACTTAGAATTTAAATTAAATCTTTTGAATAAACATAATATTAATAATAATAAATTATAAAATAATAAGAAAATGTTAAATTAATGTAATTAGAAGATGAAATATTACATTATTAAAAAGAAATATAATAAATCAAAGGAAAATTACAAATTACAATGTAGGATTCTGAATTTTATAAACATGAATTTATTTAAAGTTAATAATAAGTTGAAAAAATAAGAAAAGAATAAACATAGAAATAATATGAAAAATTATCAATATTAGAAAATGAATTAATTTAAATAAAAGAGATTAAATAAGAATTAACATAAGAAAATATAGAATTATCTGATATAATATAAAAGTAATAAAAATAAATGGAAGATTTGTAATTAGATTTAGATGAATAAATTGAAAATAATAAATCAATTACTAAATTAAAAATGTAATTATAATTGGAATGTGAAAAATTATAAAGAGAAAATTAACAATTAAATAATAAAATACAAGAATTATTAAATATATAATAGATAAATAGAGATAAAGAATTTAATGAATAATTAAGAAAATACTAATAAATAGAATAAGATAAAATAAAATTAAGTATTTAATGTGAATAATAATAAAAAGTTATAGATAATTTAAAAAGTAATTTTGATATTTAATAAAATAAGAAAGATGAATTCGAAATTAAATTACATACTAGTGAATAATATAAATAAGAATTACAAATATTATTAAAAGAAAAAGATTAATAAATAAATTAGCTCTAAGAATAAAGTTAATATCTGAGTAAAGAACTTGATAATGAATAATAAAAAAATGTAAGTTAAAAAAAGAAGTTTAATGATTTGACTTTATAAATATAAAATAAAGATAATTAAATATCATAATAGAATTTAAAATTCAAAAATTTAGATGATCAAATTTAAAAAAAAGAACAATAAATTAATAATTTGAATAATTAAATTAGTTAATTGAATTAATAAATTAATAAATATTAAAATGAGATTATTCCAGAATTGAATTAAAAATTAAATCAAGAATCTTTAGAGAAAAATCAATTAAATTAATAAATAGATTGTTTATAAGAATAATTTGCTTAAATGGAATAATAAATTTTAAGTATAAGTAGAGAAAAATCTCCTGTAAGATCAAAAAATAATTCATTATGTAAACCATTCGATTAAGGTTTAAATGAAAAGATTATTTAATAAGAATAAACAATAAATTAAAAAAATTAATTAATAGAGAAATAGTTAGAATAAATAAAAACATTGACTAAATAAAATGATGGATTATTACAACAAATTAATAAATTATATGAGGATTTAAAAGAACAATAAGATAAATCATTTTCTTTAGATAGAAGTTCAGAAACATATCTCATTAATAAAAGTTTCAATTCAAAATATAATATAGATAATGAATTAATTTTATAACATCAATATTAATCACATGATATTTATGATAGTGATAAAAAAAGATAATCATAATATTAATAATTTGAATAAACTTTTTAAGAAATAGTTTAAGAAAATAAAATATAAAAATAAGAAATAGATTAATTAAAATAAGTAATTTAAAAATAGAAATAAGAATATGAATAATAAATATAAATGATTCCTATTTCTAATAATCTTTCTAATTCTGAAATTCATAATTTAGATTAAGATAATATAAAATCAAGAAGTTTACCTTGTTAAAATTAATCTATTAAAAATGAATTATAATAATAAATTAATAGATTAGAAGAAGAATTAATGATGAAATAAGGTTTAGAATAATCTAACTAAAGATTAAATAATGAAATTAGATTATAAATAACAAAAGTTATAGATTTATAATAATAAAATGAATAATTATCAGAATACAATAATTAATTAAATTAAAAAATATAAGAGAAAGATGAAAAAATTAAGAATTTATAATAACTAATAATATAAAATTCAGATTCAAATTAAGTATAGAAAGAAGAAGAATTTATTAATGTAAAATAATAATTATAAGATGACATTCTTAGACTGAAAAAATAAAATTAATAATATGAATAATAGTTATCTGAATATTAAAGTAAGATTGAAACATTAGAAAATGAAATATTAAGAAAATCTTAATAATTATCTATAAAAGATAGTCAAGTAAATTAAAATAATAGAAAAAATAAAAAATTAGAAGAACAAATATAAATATTATAAGATTAATTAAAAAATTAAGGTGGTTTGGTTACATAAAATAAAGATGAATTAATATGTTAATTATAAAATGATTTAGAATAAAATAAAATTTTAATAATGGATTAATAAATATAAAGTATTTTTAACAAATAAATTTAGTTAAATAATTAGAAGAATAAATTGATCGATTAACAAAAAGTAATTCAGCATTAATGGAAGAGAATTGTAGACTTAATGAATAAGTAAAAGACAATGTAAATGTAAGTTATCTCAGTAATGATTCACAAAATCATTGAAATAAAAAAACTAAACTTTTTATATAAAAAATATATATATATGTTAATTTTATCGAAATATAAACAAAAAAATCAATTATCTTCCTCTTATATTTGATTTCTTAGTTTCTTTTATTATGCTGATTAAATCCATTCTTTTTTAGGTTTCCTCATAATTTCAACTCTATGTTATATTAGATTTTATGCTCTTTATGCTAAAATTTCAGTTTAATGAATTTCTTTTTCAAATACTTCTTCTTTAATAATCTTTTTAATTTTAGATTCTAATTATTTAAGTTCTTATTTAATTTCATTAATAGATTCTAGATTGAAATTTAATTTAAATAACTTTTATTTAGATTCTTTAATCATTTATTTAAATTAAGAAACTTCTCTTTTTAAACAGATTGTCACAGAAACACCTTGATTTCCAATTCTAGCAGTTCTACCAACTCTATGAATATATCTTGATGTTTCATAAGGAATTTCATAATTAATAACAGCTTTAACATTAGCAATATCTAATCCTCTTGCAGCAAGATCAGTAGCTAATAAATACTAGTATTTTCCTTCCTTAAATATAATAAAATTTAATAAAATACTTTAAAATCTTCATAAGCTTAAATTCTTTATTATTATGTTAAATTTCCATGTAATTCACAACAACTTAAATCTTTTAAACCTAAAAGAATTTATAATCTATGACAATCATGTTTAGTTCTAACAAATATAATAGTTTTTTCAGTAAATTTCTTTTACAATAAAGCAAGAAGTCTAATTTAATTTATATATATTAATTTACGTAGCTTCTCTATCTTTTTCATCATCAGAATCTATTCTAAGTATATATTACTTTAAACCATAAGCTAAACCATCAACATAATCAACACTAACTTTAACTGGTTTATGTAGAGCCAATAATGAAAGTTATTTAACAGTAGCTTTCAATGTAGCACTTACTAAAACAGTTTATCTATCTCTAGGTGTTTATTATAATATTTCTTTAATTTCTGCTTCAAATCCCATTTCCATTAATCTATCAGCTTCATCTAAAACAAGTACTTCTATACTATTTAATATAATGTGATAATCAATTACCTTGATAAATCAATACTAAATGAATTTTTCATTAAATCAACTATTCTTCCTGGAGTAGCAATAATTATGTCAGGATATCTTCTTAATTCTGCTTCTTATTATTAAATAGGAACAGCTCCAATTACAAGGGCAGCAGTAGAATTTGAAAATTAATTTAATTTTTAAAACATTTCATAACATTATAATGCTAATTCTCTTGTAGGCAATACAATTAAAGCTTTTGAATATTTTTAACTTTTAGTGTTTCCAAATCTTTACATTAATGGTAATAAAAATGCTGCAGTTTTTCCAGAACCTGTACAAGAACTTGCTAAAACATCTTTACCTGCTAAAACTAATGGAATAATTTATGCTTAAATTTGAGTAGGATATTTGTATCCTTATTCATGACAAGCTTTAATCAATGATTTATTAAGTTTTAATTATTGGAAATCAGTATTAGTAGCAAATATTTTTGGATCATATTATGGTTAATTATTTTCTTATAAATCTTCATTTTTAATCTTTTAAATTATTTGTTTAGTTTTCTTTTATTACTTTTCATTTTTTTTAGCTGATTTGACTAATTTAGTAATTTGTTTTTATGTTGATTATTGAATTCTTTTTCTTAATTTTTCAGCAGGATTTAAGAGATCAGCATAGAAATCGAAATCTTTTTAACCTTAAATTAGATCTTCAGAATCTGATTGTATTTCTGAACTACTCATTTTTTATATTTTTAATTAATGGTAAAGTTAATTATTGTGAAATTCATATGTGTTTATATAATTTAAATTTAAAATGAGCAACATGAAAGGTATAGAATAATAAACCAAATCTAAATATCATGAATCACATGTTGAAAATGTATTAGTTGGTTTGAGATTAAGACCCACTGATTCTAATGATAAAATATGCAATATTATTAATGAGAAATCAGTCATTGTTAAAAAATCTAATGAGCGCTTTTCATTTGATAATGTAAATCTATTTATATAATAATAGGTATTTGATGAAGCAGCATCATCTAAAGATATTTTCACTAAAATGGTGTAACCTATTGTATAGAAATGTCTTTTAGGATATAATGGCTCAATTTGTGCATATGGATAGACAAGTTCTGGAAAAACATATACAATGAAAGGAAGTAATAAAGAACCAGGACTTATTTAATTATCTATTGATTATTTACTTCAATCCATTAATAAAGTTTAAATTCTATGTGATCATAGATTACTGATACCTATTGTAATTTAAAGATTTCATACATTGAAATTTACAATGAAAATATTTATGATCTTTTGATTAGAGATCTATAAGAAATGAAACCTAATACATCTAATGAATATAAATGGGAAACTATTAATTCTTTAAATTAATTTGAAGAAATTTTGTATATAATTTTATTCATTTATTTTTAGTAAATTAGGTGAAGAATAAAGACATTTTGGAGAAACTAAAATGAATGATAATTCTTCTAGATCTCATGTTATTTTATAAATAGCAATAGAAGCAAGATAGAAATGTCCACCATTTATTATTCGAAATTCTTATCTTCATTTAGTTGATTTAGCTGGTTCTGAAGGATTATCAAAAACATAAGCTGAAGGATTAAGAAGAAAAGAAGGATTTTTAATTAATAAAAGTTTATTAGCACTTTAAAATGTTGTTTCTAAATTAAAGGAAAATAAAAAAGATTAATTTGTTAATTTTAGAGATTCTAAATTAACTAAAATACTTAAACCTAGTTTAAATGGTAATTCATTAACTGTTATGTTATTAACTATAAGTTAAAATAATGAAAATTATTTAGAATCAGTTAATACAATGAGATTTGGTATGTCTGCAGGTGCATTAAAAAATACTGTAAATATCAATGAAATTTAAGAATGTAATAATTTTTAGAGTGAAGCATATAATGAAATGATTGAATAAGTGGAAAATTATTAAAATTAATTATAAGAAATATAATAATAATTAGAGTTTTATAAAAATTAAAGTTAAGAAGAATAAAATACAATTAAATAAATAAAAGAATTAGTTAAAGAAAAAAATATATTAATAGAAGATTAATTAAAAACAATTACAGAATAAATTGTTGAAAAATAACGATTATAGGAATAAATTCATTAATTATAAAGATGTAATTAAGAATTAATTTCTACATCAAATGAAAATTCAAATTATTTAAATTATTTTAGAAATATTGTTGAAACTAAAGGAGTCTTGAATCCAAAACTTATGGTTGAATGTATAACTTAAACTGATAGTTGTGAAGCAGATTAATAAATTAAAGTATTAGAATAAGAAAATGTTTCACTTAAATAATAAATTAGTGAAATGAAAAATAAATTCTCATTTGAAATATAAGATGTTAAAGATATGGTATCAGGGATTAAAAAAAATAAAGAATTTACACCTGCAAAGAAATTAAAATTTTAATCAAATAAAGATTTAAATGTATAAAATGAAAACTAAAAAGAAACTAAAACATGGTTATAAAAGAGTCTTTAAAAAACTAATTAATATTTAGAATCATTAAATCTTTTAAGTAAATTATTTGGATAAATAAATAGCTACATTATAAACATAATTAATTGAATAAACTAAATAAAATATGATATTACGTAATTTTTTGGATAAAAAAGAATAAGAATATACAGAATTAGAGAGAGCAAATTTTGTACTTCATAAATCAATATTTGATTTATAAGAAAAATTAAGTGAAATTTAAAATGATGATAAAAAAGAAAAGTAAAATATATATATATATATAATTATTTAGTGTATGGAAAATGAATTCTGAGAAATCTAATAAATAAGAATCTTTAATTAAAAAAAGGTAGAGACTATATTAGAGTCCAACCAAAGATGAATTAAAAAGAAATTTATTTAGATAAGAATAGAGAAATTAAATTTATGAAAAAGAATTGAATAAGTATATGAAAAATTTGGATTAAAGTATTTTATTTATAAATATAATTTATAGTATCAAAATAAAAATAAGAACTTTAATAGTTTTCACATCATTTATATATGGCTTGTATAGAGAATAATATTTAAATATGAAAATGTTTTTGATTTTATTTGATTTTATAATTTTAATTCATTTGTTTAAAGTTGGTAACTTTATTTTTTAATTTTTACTATAATGTGTTTATTCAGCAGTATTAAGATCTAATGACATAATTTTAAGAGCCATAGATTTTTCATAATTTTCTTAAACTTAATTAGGATTTGGTCTTGTTAGTAAATGATTTAAAGTACTTTTAGACCATTTCTCTTCTTATGTTGTTTTCCAATGTTGAGATGTAGCCACATCTGACTTACGCATCTACAAACAATAAATTTGTAAATTACTTTTTATTCATAATCAGTTTAATTTAATCTATTAATAAATGATTATTCATATTTGTATTTTAGATCTTTGTTTAAAATACATATTTTAATAAATCCAAAATCAATATGTAAATCATGTCCAAGTCTAGTTAAATCTTAAATAGCTTTAATTAAAGAATAATGAATAGATTAAACAACATCTTTACCTAAATAACTAATAAATTGAATTGATCAAAAGAGTTACCATGAAGCAGCAATTGGTCCTGCATTACAAAAATTCATTCCAAATCCCTTTTAATAGATTGAATGTTGACTTAAAGGTTTAGTAACCTCTTCTTTTCCAGGATATCTCTATAAGAAATATTTCAACTAATTATCTGGAATAAAACATGGTCTTAATAATAATGTACAAATACCTTATTGTATGTACATGTTTCCGATCAGCTCTTTAGATATCTAAATCTTCAGTCATTTTAAAACCAGAATGTTATAATGGTTTAACATAATCTGATATAACTTCCATTGTAAATGCTCCAAATTCTTTTAAATTAACACCCTTTAAAAGTATTTAATGATATTACATTTCCATTTAACATTTTTTCTTTGATATATTCAGCAGTAGCCTTTATAACAATATGAAACTAAAAGAGTAAAGAGTATAAATTACTTATGCTTTAGGTTCTAATGGTTTATAGGATGAAATAGTTCTTGGTTAAGATTCTTGATGTTTTCCAGGATAATTATTTTGATGATTTAGAATCCTAGTTATGTATTGTATATAAATTTTACCAATTATAGATATCATCTAAATTCATGAAAAAAAGAATTAATATTATTATATAAAATATGTAATTGGTTATTGAACATAAGAGGAAACTTTATAAATTAAGTTATACATATATATATATAATTAATAAATATTTATATAATGCTTGAAAGCAAATCAGATTAAATTGTTGAAAGTTGTCTAAAACATCCAATACCTGATGGTCTAGATTAATTTAAATTTAAAATAGAAGAATGGTTATACAAATAGAAACAAAATAAGGCATTATTCATTTGTGAAGAAGAGGGTAATGACATTTAATGTTTGATATCATATTGGATGAAAGGTTTAAATGTAATATATTTGAAATCATATTCAACTTTAGAAAGATATAGTAATTCCATATTTTGTAGAGCATGAAAATTAGAATTATTAATATGCCATTTTTTATGTTTTATCAAGATTGAAAGTAATAATTATAATCATATAAAAGACTATTTTCAATATCTCTTAAAAAGTAGAAATCGAGGGAGAAAAACTCAAATAGTTTTTTCAATATTGGCTTGAATTTTATAGCAGAGAAATATAAAATCAAGTATTTAGTGATTCAAAATGCGTTTATAAAAGAGTATAATATCAACATATAATATTAGTTGATCTTGATATTTTAAGGAATAGACAGATTTCGTGATTAGAATGGTGAAGTACGAGCATCCTATTGGTTACCTAGAGTTTTGCCTGAAAATGTAAAAGTAATTATGAATTCAAATTTTCAAGTTAATTGTAACAGGAAAGACTGAATCAAAAGCATATGAATAATATTATAATTAAGGTGGAACCATCATTCAAATGTATACATCTTTCATTAATATTGTATAGAGATTAAACTAAGGAAGAATTTCTAGAAAGACTTTAATGCTAAGATCGTCTATATGTATATATATAATAATTATCATTATTATTAGAAATTATATTCAAAAATACCTTAAAGTCTGGCTGATTAAGCATCTTTTTGTAAGTCTTTTGAAATCACTCTAACTAATAATAATGAAGATTTTCAAGATGTTATAAAAGAATCTATTTCATAAATGGAAAGTATTAATTATATTTTAATTATTAGATATTAAAAGTGAAAGTGATTTCTTTAATATTTTGATAAAATCATTTTTGAAATACTTTTCTGAAACATATTATATTTCAATTTTAACTGTACTTACATTTGTTTTTAAAGGAGTTTCCTTAGATGAGATAGTTTAAATATGTAGTTGTGAGAAAGAACATATTTAATATGTTTATGAGTTCTTTAAAATATTTCTAATGGAAAAATAATAAATTTATTGTATCTTTAGTATTCCATTCAAAAATGCATTAATTCAATACTTACCTTCTAATAAATAATTATATCATTAATTTATTACAACTATGGAACATTCATAAAATACAATTAGAAAATTAGAAGAATTAATATATCAATATACTAGAACAAAGAGATATTTTAAACTTAAAGAAGTTCTTATTAATGTTGAAAACTTTTTAATGTTGTGTAGTCCAAATCATAAATTTGAATTATGTCATTTATGGGAAACTTTAGAATAGAATGGATATGATTTAGTAATGGAATACAATAAAGCTATTGAAAATTTTTAAGCACTTTATAAACCAACAAATGAAGGTTTATTTTATATAATGTTACAAATTTGTAGATTTTTAAGAGAATTTAGTAATTTTGAGAAGTATTTAATTTATTATATTTAGTGATCACACACCACCTTATAAACATCCAGAATTAAGAGGATAATCAATTGAATTTGATGAGATTGGTTTATATAATGAATTAAAATAATTAAAAATGATAGCAAAAAAGAAAACTAAATAAATGAATGAAGATTATTTTCCATAATAATAAAGTAATATTGAAACATTAAATATGGATATAAAAGCTAATAGAGATTACTTTATTAATTATTATATTAGTTAATTTGATTAAAATTTAGTATAAGAATATATTAATACAAAATAAGAATATATCTTAGATAAAATAATTACAAATACTAGAAATTAATAAAATTATTATTATAAAAGATGGATTTGGGTTTAATTTCCTTGGTTAGCATTAACTCAAAAGAATAATTATTCAAAATTAATGGATTATTATAATACAAATAATATACCAATGTCAGAGGAATTATAAATTAGTTAAAAAGCTATAAAATTGGCTTTGATTGCAAAATAAACTAAATAAATGAAAGATCATAATTGTAATTCTATTTTAATTATATATATAATATAGCTACTAAATTACCTTCTATTAATTCCAGTATTAGATTAAGATAATTTAGTCCTTTGGATACAACAAGAAACACAAATATTTTAAAGACAAGAGCAGATTCTGAACATAATAAAACAGAGAGAAATTTTAAGAAGATTTCATTACCAAGTTTATAGAAAATTCAATTTCAAAAGAAATTAGATTAAATTATTTATTAAAAGTAATTTATTTAATTGATAACATTAGTTAGGTGTTAAAAAATAGATTAAAAGATTATACTACTATAAAATAGAATATGTATCCTGATGAAGTAAATGGAGAAACTTAAAAAACATTAGAGATAAATAAATGTTTATCTGAAGAATTAAAGAAATAATAAGAGAATCTATCTGTAGTTCAATTAGAAATGAAAAGAATGAATATTGTTTGGAAATTATGTTAATAGAATTAGGATTATAATGAAGATAGAGCATAATAATTAGTTAAACATTCAAAAAATTTAGATAAATTGATTTTTGAATAGATTACTATAATAAGGGAATTGGGAGACAAAGTTTAATCAATTAAATAAAAATCGAAAATAGAAACAAAAAAAGTTTAATAAGAAAAAAAATAGATTTAACAATAATTAGAAGCATCCAGGAGATTAACATATTTCTAAAATATACCCCCTTCTCCAGGTATGATTTCAAATATAGAAAATTCTTATTTTTTAGATACAAATAAGAAACATTTAAATTAGTAGTAAATTAATGCCGTTCATTCTAATACTGAAGTTAACAATAGTGGAAACGAAATCAAGATTAAGTTTGTTCGTTTGAAATCTGAAAAAGTGGAAGACAATATATTAAAATCATTGAATTGTGATGCACATACCTAAGATCTATTAAACTAATTAACAGATTTAGGAATAGACAATCCTTATCACAATCCAAAATGGATTGAATTTTGTGATAAAGTTTTAAAAAATTATGAATTACAATTAGAAATTTAAAATAGATAATAAAAATTATAAGATTTAAAAAATAATAAGGCAGAATTATAAATATAAAAAAAGGTAATTATTTAATAACCAAAAGATTTTATCAAGATAAGTTGTCTCCAAAAATTCAATATAATTTAATTAACATTATTCTGGTTTCTAGAGAGATGATATTATTAGATCAAATGATTTTAAAATGATTCAATTAAAAGAATTGAAATAACATTAAGCAGTCATTAAATTTTATAATCATAATTTATATAATTTATTAAGTACAACCCAAAAATTAACTAGTAATAATATACATCATATGGGTAATATATTATGTAAAATGACATGATTTAAAATATATATATAAATACTTTAATTATCATAACCAACTATCAAAACAATATTATTTTTATTATTTTTTATATTATTCTTATGTACTTGTAGGTAAAGCAAATCCTTAATCATCCAACCATCTTTCTTTATGTTTCTCTTATAATTTCTATTCATTTTCTACTTCTTTTTCTGTTAACATTATTTTAATCATATCTCTAAAAGGATTCTTTATTACTTTTAATTCTTTTAATTTAATTGTCACTTCAGGTCTCTACTACATATTAGTAAATAATTTATTTATTTAATATAATGTTTAATATCCACTAACAACTTCTCCAAATACAGCATATTTACCATCATATTTCTTACATTTGGCTAAAGTTATAAAACTATCTATTTAAATATATATAAAAGTACAAATGTGATGGTTAATGAAATTTTTCCAAAATTTAGGTTTACTCATCAACTCTTCAACTGTATCAGATGTATATACATTACTACTTACCTTGATGATTACTAATTTAGTATGATCTGTAAATACCTTAAACTTATAGGATCATGAAATTGTCCTTTATCATTTTAATGAAATTTCATTTGAATTAAATCATTAGTTCTAAGAGATTATCCATTGATTAGAGTTCTTTTATATTTTCTAATAAATGGTACAATGTTAACAATATCAAATACATGACCTTTAGATATACATACAAGATTCTTAAATGGTTCAAGAGATAATGAACAATAATCAAAGGGTAATCGAGTAAGAGGAATTTTCTTATATTTTTATTACCTCCTCTTTCTAACATATGTTCACTATATGTAATATTTAATTTATCTTTAGATTCTATGTTTACTCATTTATATATAATATTTAAAAATTCTTATATTTTATCATCAATGTTAGCATCTTTAGATTTATTCTTTAATAATTGTTCTTCAACTGGTTTCATGAAAATACTCTAATTATTTAAATCATATATATACTTATCTAAATACTTTTGTAAATTCTATTGATTATGAGAATGCCATATGAATGATTGAATGAATAGCATTATTATAAACTTCTTGTAATTCTAATTTACTAATCAATTATCCCAACATATTAACAAAAAAGGTTTTTTAAATAAGATATAAATAAAATGATTCATTAGAATATCTTCTAATTAGATAGACAAGCATTCTACTTATCAATATTAAATCATCATTTTTTAAAGCTTATTCATCTAATGCCAGAATATACTAAAATAGTTATGACTCTATAAGTTTAAGAATGATAGTATCATTTCTATAGAAACATATTAAGATAGTGAGATAAATCAATGTAGTTGTTAATGATTAATCTTCTTCTAATAATTTATATAATTTCATAAGTAAGTCCTTCTAGATTAATTTAGTAGTACCATCATCAGATTATTCAATAATATGGCTGATGATATTAAAAGTTTTAGAGAGATTATTTATCAATAAATCAATGAATCCTGGTATGATTAGTAAATAATTGATAGCTCCTCTTCTATCAGTTTTACAATTACACATAGTTTCAATAATTTGTAGAGTGACAAGATTTGTATCATATTGCAATAACTTTAAACAAGGAATGATAAGGTTCTTAAACTATTAGAATATGAATGTTAACTTACATAAAGAGAAGGTTTCAAATTATAATTACATAATTATTCAATTATTAGAAACCATCCTTAGAAATCATCCAATTCTAATGTTATATCTAATATATATTAAATAATATTATGCTATTCTATTAGTGAATCTAATTCATTCATATAAACTATTCTTTATAATAGTGTAATAAATTAATTAACTATTTCAATACTTAAAAATTCTTGTATTTGATTCAATAATTAAGGACATAAACATTGAGGTAAACATATTTTTAGAAATATTTCTAAAATCAAACTAAATTATTCTGAATCACATTTCTATGCAATTTCTTTTAGATAATTGATTGTATTCAATGATTTTAAATTTTCACTTTATTCAGAATCTGCATAATGTATTAATTTCTTTAAGTATTCTTTACTTTATTGGTATTCTCTACGATTGAAACACTCTATAGAAAATTAAGCAAGCAATTCAAGGTCCTTGATATTACTCCAACTTCTTAACCTTGTTATGCACAAATATAGCTCTCTTCTATTGAAATAATGTTTCAGTTCTCTGGCGACGAATTTCCACTTGAAATTTATATCTTTTATCATGTAAACACAAGATAGTAGCATCTTTAAACATTTATATTAAATTAAATATTCAATGTGGTTGAGTCCATTCAATTTTATTAATATCTATTCCTTCTTAATGCATTTCCCATAATGGAGACATTTCTCTTAATTTTCTTACAGCTTCACTCAATTAATCAATTAAAAAATCTATTTCCTTTTCAGTAGTAAATCGACTATATAATTTAAATATATATATATATACCCAATACCAATTCTTAAACTAGTATGAGCCATATCTTCTTAAACTCCTAAAGCTCTTAATACATATGAAGGTTCAAGAGATGAAGAAGTACAAGCAGATCCAGAAGATACTGCAACTTATTTAATAGCCATAATTAAAGATTCTCCTTCCACAAATGCAAATGAAACATTTAAATTACCTTTGTATCTCTATTCTAATGATCCATTTATTTAAATTTAAGGAATCTTTTATTTAATTCCAATTAAAAGTTTATTGTATAATTTTTCAACATGTTAAATGTCATATGGTAATTCAGTCTATGCTATTTCAGCAGCTTTACCAAAACCAACACATAAATGAGGTGCAAGAGTACCACTTCTTAAACCTCTCTCTTATCCTCCACCATGAATTATTTATTATAATCTAACTCTTGGTTTCCTTCTTACATATAATGCACCTATTCCTTTAGGTCCATATAGTTTATGAGCTGATATACTACCTAAATCTATATCAAGATCTTATATATCAACTGGAATCTTTGCTATAGCTTATGCCATATCGGAATGAACATAGACTCCTCGTTGATGACATATTCTGCTTATCTCTTTTAAGTTTTAAATGACACCAATTTCATTATTTACAAGCATTACACTTACACATAATGTATTGGATTTAATAGATTCTTATAATTGTTGTAATGAGATCAAGCCATTAGAATCAACTGGTAAATATGTAACTTCTACTCCTTTATCCTCTAGATATCTACAAGTGTCTAAAACACATTTGTGTTCAGTTTGTGTTGTAATTATATGATTCTTCTATTTTCCATAAAATCCATATAAACCCTTTAATGCAGCATTATTACTTTCAGTAGCCCCAGAAGTAAAAATGATGCTTTAAGGTTATGCATTGATTAAATTAGCAATCTATATAATTAGATTAATAAATAACTTAAGATCTTGCTTTTTCCACAGCTTTTTCAGTTTCCCATCCAAATGAATGTGTTTTACTATGAGGATTACCATATTAATTAGTTAAATATGGTAACATAGCATCTAAAACTCTGTAATCAGTTGGAGTTGTAGCTTAGAAATCAAGATATGTAGCTCTTGAAAATCTATAGATAATTTTTCTCATATATTTATTTATATATATATGTAGATTTATAATCATGTAATAAACAATTTAGATTACTATTATTTTGGAGTGCTATACAAATATCTCATTTCAGAAGTATTTGTAAATGGAACTTTATCTTATTCTAATTTAAGTAATAAATCTCTTTTTTATCTTTCCATATCTTCAATAACTTTAAATCTTCTTTTTTAGATATCTAATTTATTTTATCTATTTAAATAAATTATTATTTTAATACATTTAATCTTATAATCTCTAATCTCTTTATGTAATTTTTTATTCTAATGATGAAAAATATGATTATTTTAATTGATCAGCTTTTTAAACTTAATTTTATTATGTTTACCATTTTTCATTTAATCTCTATAATTTTTATTATAATTCAATTTAATTCTATTATTAGACTAATTAAAATGTTTTCTCTTTTTCTAATTATTTATTTAAAATATTTATAGATTTATTTCTATAAATATTTTCAGATTTAGCTCTTACTTCATTTCTTTTTTAATTTAATTCTTATTCTTATAAATAATTCATTTATAATTATTATAATCTCTTTTTTTCAATTTAATTGATTTTTTCTTAAAAATAATTCATCTTATTTTATAATTTTTACAATTTATTTTAATATATTTAATATGAACGATATTTAATGCCTTCTTAATGTTCAAAACTTGATTAAGCCTTATGAGTTAATTGTTCAATTTAAGATAGTTTCTATTGATTAATTTATTTTATTTTATTTTCATATTTTTTCAATTTTAATTAACAAATCTAACATTAACAATGTTAATTACTTCCTAAATTCTCTTCATTTATTATTAATAATTAGAATATACATTTTGATTATGTGATTCAGTAATCTGCATCGATGTATTTATAGTCTATTACTTCTAATTTAAAAAATCATTTAAATATTTCTCTTTCCTTTCTTATTTCTCTAAATAACGTAGATTAAGTTTCCTTAAATTATTGTCAAGTTAATTCATTAATTCATCAGTTTTCCTTTTAAATTCTTCATATTTTATCTATTATTGAATTTCAAACAACTTTTATTATATATCTTTCTCATGTTATTTCTGTTCTTATTACCATAATTCATTTGCTGCTTTTTTTTTCTCTTTCTTTTATTTCTATAATTCTTGTAATTACTTTAACTTCTCTTATTGTATTTTTAATTATTCATTCTAGTATCTTGATGATAAGATCTATTTGAATCAATAAGTACTTATTCATGCATACTTCTATCCTTCTCTTCCAGTTGCAAATTTCGATCAAACACATTATTAAGTTTTTACTCATATGCTTGTCTCTATTTCAAAAGCAACTCTTCATGTTTCACAAATACTTCCATTTACTTATTCTATGAAGAGTTAACATAATAAACTGTACAAATTTCTCTATCATCTTTTCTGGGAATGGAGCATTCATTATATATATATTTAATTTATATCATATTTTATCTATACTTTTAACATCTTTCTATACTACACTAACTGATTCTTCATAAACAATTCTATATTATAGTTTATTAATACAATTATACATTAAAATCAAAGCAATAATCAATATACAACTTGCAAACTCATAATAATCTTTATTTTATATATCTGACTAATTAATATAACAATAACATATATATTATTCTCCAAATATATATATCTCAACTATAAAATATCTATAAATTGTCTATTAGATAAATTATCAATATTTGAATTTATATTATTAAATTTTTTAGATAAATTCTCTTCTTTATAATGTTTTTTATCATTTAATCAATCTTCTATATGTTTATATAATATATAAATTTTATAGAGTATATAATTAAATAAAATATTTTAAATTTGAAAAATTAATGAACAACAACCTCATTTTATTAATCCTTCTATTACGTAAACCTAGTCAATAGGTTTATGATCTCTTAACTGAGTATTTAAAAGTATTTATTACTTAATATTTCAATTAGATTCATGATGTTACAGAGATTATTAATAATCCAACATTGTAAAATACAATTCTTAGTCATATTGAACCTGAATTGTTATAGATTACTTCAATGAACAAATTTCATAAGATAATTGGAGAAAGTAATACTTTAATTGTAATATGCAGCATTACGTGAAAAATAATAATAGAAAACTCCAGGAGGCAGTGTTGTTGATTTGTTTTTTAGGAATATGTTATTGCTATTTAATTAAATGGATTTCAATTAAATGTTAAAATCTTGGAGTGATTTCAAAGAAGGTTAAGATAATCATTTGCAAAATAATCCATTTTTAACAGATTCATATATTGAATTCTTACTTACTAAATTATAAAGTATAATTTATCTATATATTTGTTAGCAAGTTCTAGTTATGTAAATTTAGAAGAATTGAAATAAATAATTGAATAACCAAATTTGAATGAGAATTGTAAAGTCAATTTTCTTAAAGCACTTTTATATGCTATATTAAGATATCCATTTAGAGCTATTAAATTCTCTCGCAAATATTATGATATGACATTGAATAGTCTTGTACCTAAAAAAGTGAATCATTGTATTATGAATTCTATTTATCTCAATATGAAGATGAATTTCTATGATGAAGCATTAAATAGTTTATCTGAAGGTTTAAGATTATCATAAACTGTATCAGATGAATAAAGTATTAATCTTTGTTTATTAAATCTATTTGAAATAGCATATCGTAATAATTATTAAAAATAAGTAAATATACTTCATTATTATTATTAGGCTACTTTATTATTAGAATATGCAGTTAATCATGCTTAATAATTAAGTCCATAACACAGATTATAGAGTGCTTTAATATATGGATCATAAGTAAGATACAAATAAATAAATTATTCATTATTAAAAAAGAAACATATTAATTGGAAAGACATAATACATTAAAGTTTAAAATAGATTTTACAATCTCATAGTCAAGATATAGAATAATCTATTACTGCCTATTAATTAGTATGTGCTAATAATTATGGGAATTCAACTATGATTTAAAATGCATTAGATTAATTATAATAATTTGATTAAAATGATTAAACACTTTCACTTCAATTAGAAGCCTTAAGTCAAATATCTTTACATCAACCATTATATACATTGTCATAATTCTAATAATGTTTTGAAACTACTTATAATTTGAGTGAATAATCAATATTAGTAATATTAAATATATGTTTGGAATATTTTGAAATAATTAATGAACCAATTTCAATTAAATACATAAAATAGATTATGATGTAATTATTGTAAATGAATCCTGATCCATATATTTCTGAATCTTTATAAATTGTACCAATTAAAAGTAATATATTTATATGATTAGATCCTAAGCTTAGAGTCAAGTAATTATTAAAGGATGGAGAGAATGATTTAGAAATTATTAGATTGTGTAAATAATTTCATTTGAATTAATAATATTTGGAATATAAACTAAATATAATTGAAAGAAACATTAAATAAAATTAAATTTAGATAGCTTAAGATAAATTAAATAATATTAATTTATATGAATTATCATAATCAAATTGTGTAATTTAAGCTAAGTTTTGGAATTTGATGGCACGTATTTATAAAAGTTTATAGTATTATGCTACATCTATTAATTTTGCTATTTAAGTTGGTTGGATTTCAATGATACAATAGAATTATTATGATATGACATTTATATATGATTAATTAGGTAATTATATAATATTTTATAATAGATTAATATGATCAAAGAGATTATTGTGCTGAATAATTTAATAAAGTTGATGCACTTATTAGTTAATGTATTTAGAATACTAATTTGATATTCTTTAAAATAAATGAAATAGGAATTGTAGAATACTTGTATCGTTTTCTAAATAATATACAATAATAATTTAGTTGTAATATGTGATATATTTATATATATATAATAATTAATATATAAATGTCAACAAAGGCAAGAAATTTGAGTGTAGATAATACGAACAACAAAATCTTTTTACCAAGTATTTTTAATAATGACTATGATCTTAATATCAATATTGATCCTAAATTATATTTGTAAAATATATTCAACAAAACAACAAGGACTCAAAGAACTAAATCATTATAATTTTGTAATCAAATAAAATTACCTTAAAAAATTGAACCAATTCAAATTAAATAATAACTTGAAACAGATAAAGAAATTGTTTATGCATTTGAAGATTAATTTTCATATAAAGATAAATAGTAATATACAAATAAACTATAAATCAAATTAACAAAAAATAATTAAAATAAAGAAATTAGATATTAAGAATTAGTTAATTGTTATTGTTAAAAATTTACAAAAAAAAAACCACCATTAAATTTAAAACATCATAAATTAGATCTTGAATTTTTGTGATATCCATTTTAATATTTTATATTTTTAATCAATTTAATATTCATAAAATTAATATTTATAATTTCATTAATATTTAAATCCATCTTAATTACCATATAATAAAGGTTATTCATTTTCAGTTAATATATATATACTATTATATTAAATAATGGCTGTTTAAGTAGGAAAATCAATTGAACTTGGTAATTAAAATGATTTCTGTATTGTTTTTTATTTTACATTAAAAATCTATTATTAATAATAATATTAATAATTACTTAAGTTTCATCAGCTCTTACATCATGAATTGATCCACCAATTATTAGTATTTCATCTTTAGAAATAGTAACTGCACAACTTTAAAATGGTAATCTCAAATATCCAGATGATATAAATTTGAATTCTATTATAGTCTTTATAATTAATTAATTTAATAAAATACCCATAAATTCTTTTGTATATCATAAGATTCTATTTAATTACATGGTGTAAATATATCACATTTACCTCCAATTTTAATTAATGTATTATAATCAATTGATACTAAAGCACAACCAGTTGTCTTATAGAAAGGATCTTCTATTGAATACCATTTTCTTGTTGTTAAATCTAATTTCTCTGCTTTGGCTATTGATGTATTTTCATCATTTGTTGAAGATCCTCCAACAACATATAAGAAATTGTCAACTTAACAAGCTGATGTCATTGATCTAGCTAAAATCATTTCAGAATGCAAAGTCAATTATAGAGTATTATGATTAAATTCATAAACATGTGCTATTGCTTTGAATCTTGACTTTTCTTTATCAACACCACCTATTACTAAATGTTTACCAAATGATGTTGTATATAATTTATGACATAATGGTATTCTAATTGTACTATTTATAGTTTCTATTCTATATTTTTAAGATTAAATATCATAAATATAAGCAGCAAATCCACCTTCTTCCAATCTTATAATCACTTAATCCTTTTCATCCTCAAAGTGATTTTTATAATTAAATTTACATATTGCTGTTTCATTTGTTAAATTCTCTGAAATCAAAGAAATTGGATTTATTATAGGAGGTATGTCTGAAGATACTAATTTTGATAGAACCAATGTTGATTAATTTCCCTTTTAATCTACTTCCTATGGTTATTTAAACTATTAAAATTAAAATTATTATTATTAAATAGATGATGATTACTTTATATTAGGAATTGAAGTCTACTTTTTACTTTTCAATAAATAACATAATTTCTTACAATAAGTTTAAAATAATTCTAAATTACTCTTATCTAATATTACTTCCACCTTATTTTAATTAAAATCCTTAACCATTTTATCTAATTTATATATATTCTTTTCACTATATATCTGTTCTTTATTAATAAAAATTTAAGTAATTGCCTTTATATAATTATCATTTTGTAAATCCTCTTATAATTTTAATAGTTCATTCTATTATTAAATTATCTCTTCCTCAACCAAATTCAATTATTTAATTTGTTCATCTTAATTATACTCATTTAATTCTTTTTATAAACCTTAAAAGTAATCATTTATCATATCTAATATTTAACCGTGTATCAATTTGACCTACTCTTATGCATTATTATATATCATTTATGGTGTTTCATTAAAATATGTCTTTGCTTCTTTCAACTTTATTTATAATTATTTTAATAAGTCATCTATCTTACAAATCTGATCTTTCCTCACTCTCAATATATTCTCAAATTTAGGCTATTTCCCTTTTTTCTAATGCTATTCCTAATGATTTGTTATGCATTCTGCACATAATGGCTCTACACAATTCTAATTTAAATAAGTTATACTTATTCTTAACATAAAGTTGTTATAAAAAATTCTGGATGACTCTAACATGGTATATACATGAATTAAGCAAATTAAGACAAATTAGATAGTTTGTTTGCATTATTTTTGTCACCTAATACACTTACTTATTCAGAATTATCTATATTAACCATTCTTGATTTAGCTTAATTTCCAATTAATTATTGTAATTTTGTCTATATTAACATAAATCTAATATTATTACTACATCACTCTCCTAATTCTAAAATTTCTCATATGGGGACACATATCGTTTTGATCCTCCTAAAGTATTCTTAAAACCAGAAGATTGTGAATTAATCATTAAATTTATTTTTATTATAAAATATTCATATTTATATCAATATAATTTATTCATTAACAAAAATATTTATTAAAAAATTGAAATATCTAAACAAATATTAAGAAATATAAATGAATTGATTTTAAAGTGAAGTAAATTGAATTTTTCTTTTAAGTCTATAAAAAGAATAATACTTTATATTCTTCAATTTAAATAAAATAACATAAAATAAAAATAAAACAATTATTATCTTAAAATATAAATTTGGTTATTAAACAATTACCAATGTTCATCAGTAAGAGTATTTTCTTTACTTTCTTTATCTAATCAGAATAAAAATTAACAATATTTAATTGAACAAACCTGCAAAATTGAAAGATTTTAAAAAGTTTTTCAAAATTTAATTCTAATTGACAAATTTCCTGCAATATTTGAATGAGATTGAAAATATACAAATATAATTAAAATAAAAGAAAAGGATTAAAGATAATCGTAATTAGTAAAGAATGGAAACCAGATTTAATAAAAATATCATAAAAAAAGGGTTGCATTCATTATCCTATTACCTAAGGGATAAATCAAAAAGATCAAAGACAGAAGTGCATAAACTAGATGATCATATAGAACTAATTATTTATTAATTATATTAATATATAGTAATATAATAATATAAATGTGTATTTTTATCATTTCTTATTAATGTTGATAACTTGAAAATTATTCAAAAGAAAACAGAGGAACTAGAACAGGTGAAAAAAAGATAGATTTTGGAGATAATTTAAAAAAATGAATAATTGCAATTTAAATACAAAATAAAATAGAGAATCTTAACTAATTGATAAATTAAGTAAATGTGAATCAGGATTTGCCTTTTAAGATATTGAAGCAGTTTAATAAATTTGATTTTTTTGAGGTGTATCTATAAATATAAAACAAAGTGTATTTTTCCATTATAAGTAATAAAAGTATTTTAGTTAAAATGCAAAACAATATAGTTATTATATAAGAACTGAGATGGAAAATGATAGTTTATAATGAAATCCGTTTTTATATTATTTTAATTAAAATGAGAAGTTCGACATTAGTCATATGTATATTAGTGTTGGGGAGTGGTATTAATGAAACATAAAATTTTAGCCCTTTCTGCTGAATTAGATTTGAGCACATCCTTATTATCAATGGACTTATCGGATATAGCACTTTTGGATACAACATCTATGAGTTGTGCAACACCATAGAATGAGTTTGAGAGAGTTTCTGCTTAAATGGCAGCATGGGCTGATATAGTATAACATAAAGATTCATTACACAGAGATATAGATAGATTAGAAAGCATTAAGCAATTAATACAAAAAAGAAAGTTTAAAGCTATTGAGAAATAAATAGATAAACTCGAATTACCAAAAACAGAAAGCAAGATTGGAGAACCAATTTTGGCAGAATTCAAATAGAAATTAAAAGGATTAAGTAATCCTCAAACTGCAGATGAATGTGAAGCAACTATGTTGAAATTATGCATTTACCTTCTAAAATAGTTTAATAGTTGTAGACAATAATGCTAATCAAATCCAGTCACTGTTATTAAAATTAAAGGAAAAATTAAGGATTTATAAGTTGTTTAACAAGGATGTGGTTAACCAGCACCATGTGAAGATGAGCCTGGAGTCCCAGATGAACCTACTCCGGAAGAATAAACACCCTCTTCTGAACCTGAAGAGAATCCCCTTCCACCTACTGAAGAAGAACATCCACCTGTTTCACCTCCATCTGAGGAAGATAAACCTTAAATTCCTGATGAAAAAGATCCTGAAGAAGAATCTGTTCCTCCTGAAGAATAATAAATTCCACCTTCCCCACCTACACCAGATGAAGAGTAACCTGAAATTCCAGATGAAAAAGTTCCAGAGGAGAAATCAATTCCAGCTGAAGAAGAATAAGAAGTCCCATCACCACCACCTGGAGAAGAAGAAGAGGAGAAACCTGAAATTCCTGATGAAAAGGGTCCAGAGGAGTAATCAATTCCAGCTGAAGAAGAATAAGAAGTTCCAACACCACCTGAAGAAGAAGAGGGAGAGAAACCTGAAATTCCTGATGAAGAAAGTCCTGAAGAATTAAGTCCACCTACTGAAGAATAAAATCCAGAGGAGGAAGGAAGTCCTGAAATTCCTGATGAACCTCCTGTTAATCCTAATCGTGAAGAATCAGAAGAAGAATAGGAAGAATACTATGAAGAAGTTGAAGAAGAGTTTGAAGAATTTGAAGAACCACCTATTATATTACCTCCTATTGAGCCACCTGTTGAAATTGTTGAAAAAAGATGTTTGAATTCAGTGAATGAGAATGTTTATACATCTTCTGTTAATGAAGAAATTCCATTGATTAATAAATAATTAGAAGGAGATGACTTAAGTTGTTATG